TTCCGGTAAATCTTTTAATTTTAAACAAATTAATTTCACAAATGCCGAGTATGCAGTTACCGTACACTGGTTGGCCTCATATAAAAGATTTAAATTTAGCGGATCCCGCTTTTCATACGCCACAGCCAGTGGACCTGTTATTAGGAGCGGATATACTATCCCATGTGCTTTTGAGTGACGTCATTACGGGCTTACCTGGTTCTCCGATAGCAGTAAATAGTATATTCGGTTATTTATTGTTAGGTAAACTAGATATTGTTTCCTCTCCGTCTCAACTTCAAGTTTGTTTTAGTTCATTTGACAATGACAACCTTCAGAGATTTTGGGAATTAGAGTCACTTCCTGAAAAACGGAGTTACACTCCTGATGAAGAAATATGCGAATCCTTTTTTCAAAAGACGCATATACGTGACGCAACGGGGCGATACGTGGTCGCTTTGCCTTTTAAGCCGGAGGCTCCCCCTCTAGGCGAATCCCGTCAAACTGCACTTGCGCGCTTTCGTAAGTTAGAGTTTCGTCTCGAGCGAAACCCGAAGCTTAAGGAAGACTATCATGCCTGTCTCCAAGAGTATCTGGATATGAAGCACATGGAGCCCGTTAAGGGCGAGCCGACATCAGGGGCCACTTATTATATTCCGCATCATTGCGTGGTCAAAGAATCCAGTGAGACCACTCGCACTCGAGTAGTTTACGACGCCGGGTGTAAATCTTCTAGTGGCTACTCATTGAATGACATTTTGTTGACAGGTCCTAAACTTCATTTAGATATAGTTAATGTTATTTTAAAATTTCGTATTCATTCAGTGGCCTTCACTGCTGACATCAAACAAATGTTTAGGAATATTTTAGTTCGAAAGGAAGATAGGGATTTTCAGCGCATTTTATGGCGGAAGTCGCCTGATGAGGTTATCCGTGATTATCGTCTTTCTACAGTCACATTTGGAGTGAATTGCTCTCCATATCTGGCTCTCCGAACTATCCAGCAGTTGGCTATAGATGAGGCTTCACGATTCAAACTTGCTTCTAAGGTTTTATTAAATGATGTTTTCGTAGATGACGTCACTTCCGGTGCCTCTTCTGTTCATGAAGCTTTAGTAGTTCAACAAGAGCTTATTAATATTTGTAAGACGGCGGGATTCGAGCTTCGAAAGTGGCATAGTAATTCACCAGAGGTACTTGCTGCAGTAATTCCCCCATTTTCTCATGGTGAGCGGCTCGATGAAGTCCGATTCGCCGAAATGGAACACGATGAACAGGTCAAGGTCCTTGGACTTCAATGGAACCCTATTTCCGACTGTTTCAATTTTAATGTCAAAATATCACCTTGCTTAAGCACCAAGCGCGCTATTCTTTCCGAGATAGCTAAAATATACGATCCATTGGGCCTTTTAGCGCCAGTTACTTTATATGCCAAACATTTGATCCAACTTTTGTGGATAGCCAATATAGGTTGGGATGAAGCACCGCCGATTGATATTGTTAATTCATGGAAATCATTTAGTAGTCAGTTACCATTTATTTCGAATGTGTCGTTCCCAAGGCACATTTTTTCTGATTTAGGATCTGTTCAGATTCATGGCTTTGCCGATGCTTCAGAAAAGGCTTTTGCCGCCTGTGTATACATACGCCTTACGGGCAAAGACGGGCATGTTCGTACTTCGCTTATTATAGCCAAAACTCGAGTCGCTCCACTTCGTATGCGTCTTACTATTCCCCGTCTCGAACTTATGGCAGCCCTATTGTTGTCAAAACTACTACAGCAGGTGTTAGTTACCTACTCAGATTACGTCAAGGGTGATCAAGTTTACGCTTGGTCTGATGCATCCATAGTGTTAGCGTGGTTACGTTCGCCACCACATGAATGGAAAACATTTGTTTCTAATCGCACTAGCGAGATTCTTTCACGCGTTCCCGTTAACTGCTGGCGACATGTACCGTCGACCGATAACCCTGCTGATGCTGCGTCTCGTGGTATGCTACCTGGCGTATTTATAGAACATGATTTGTGGTTCCAAGGTCCAAGTTGGCTCCGACAGGACGAAGCTTGCTGGCCGGAATCAAAGTCTTACTATACAACGGAAGAGGAAAAGCGTCTCAATATTAATTTGATTAACACTAATTTAACTACACTGGATCCCTTACCGGATGTAGAGATAATTTCTCGATTTTCTACGTTAGGAAAACTTGTTCGCGTTACTGCAATAATATTTAGATTTTATTTCAAATGTAAAAAACACATTAAATCTTGCCCTAATTATATAACTGTGCCGGAATATAATTTTTCCTTAAAAAAACTTATTTATTTAGTGCAACATAGTGTGTTCAGTAATGACATTGAAAACATTTCAAAGGGTAAATTGCCTTCAAATCAATTACGTCGTTTAACGCCATTTCTGGATGAAAATCAATTTTTACGTGTGGGAGGCAGAATTCATAAGTCTCTTTTACCATTTGAAGCAAAGCATCAATTAATTTTACCGAAAAAACATACTTTAACCAATCTCATTATTGACGATGCGCATATAAAGTATTTACATGCCGGCCCACAAACAGTCCAATACTTATTATTACAACGTTTTTGGATACTTTCTTGTCGCGATATCGTGCGCCAGCGCATACATCGCTGTGTTATTTGTTTTCGCTCTCGTCCTAAGTCTAATCAGCCACGTATGGCACCGTTACCTGCTACTCGTTTACGTCCCTCGCGACCCTTTATTAAGACCGCCGTAGATTACGCGGGTCCTTTTTACGTACGTGCAAATAAGGTGCGCAATGCTAAAGTTGTGAAATGTTACGTTGCAGTTTTTGTATGTATGAGCGTTAAGGCCATACATTTAGAGCTTGTGTCCGAGCTTTCCACGGAAGCTTTTCTCGCGGCTTTGCGGCGTTTCACATCCCGTCGAGGTTTATGTACTGATATTTTTTCGGACTGTGGGAAGAACTTTGTCGGATGTAATAATTATTTAAGGGATTTGTTCGCGTTCTTAAACAGCGACTCTGTACAGGCTAATTTAAATCGAGAGACACTTAAACAAGGCCTAACGTGGCACTTTCAGCCACCATACGCAAGTCATTTCGGTGGGCTATTCGAGGCGGGTGTCAAAAGTTTTAAGCATCATCTACATCGTGTTATTGGCACTCGTACTCAAACATATGACGAGATGCATACCCTCCTATGTCAAATAGAGGCTATACTGAACTCGCGTCCACTCTGTGCAATCAGTGCTTCGCCTGATCCGCTTCCTTTAACTCCATCACACTTTCTGATAGGAGAACCTTTGATTGCTTTGCCTGATGTTTCTTTGGTGGACGAGAATACTAATCGACTTACGCGTTGGCGCTGGGTACAGCAGTCCGTTCAGCATTTTTGGAAGAGATGGAGTAGAGAGTATCTTCATGAGATTCAGCAAAGTCAAAAATGGTTTGAGACTCGCGGGTCTTCTATTCGTGAGGGTACTATTGTGGTAGTTTGCGATGATCACCTGCCACCATTACAATGGAAACTAGCACGTGTCCATGCTCTACATCCAGGTTCGGATAATGTTACTCGTGTGGTGACTTTACAAAGGGGCAATACATTTTACAAGCGACCTGTTGTAAAGGTGTGTCCACTCCCTATCGAATAAACAATTAATCGTTGCATATCGAATCTTAGTTCTAAGTTTTTTATTTATATTTTATTTTGTTCTAAATTTAATATTCAATTTGTTCATTTAATGTTAAAGGCACGTTCCTTTAAGGTGAGCGGCATGTTCCGTAACGAAACAGATCATTGATAATTGGCTATACAAAGACAACACAACTGTGGGTAAAATTTTTATTGTCTATGGGCAAGGCGATTAGCTGTCTTCGTTCCAAATCCCCACCCTTAATCCTTGGGTGACGGTTTACTACTGTGATTTCAAATTGTTAACTGCGCGCACCTAATTTTGATTGAGCTTGGTGAATTGTTCGTTATCGAGAATAAGGACATTTCGGAAGAACGGTGGATCAGTGCCTATGGACTATATATCGTGTATGATATATTCGCTGGTAACCGCGTCGACGCACCCCGTTCCAGAACCCAGCCCTCGGAACCCGTGGCGGTAAAGGATCGCTTGCGGTGAGTCGCCAACCCCTGCTTAATATCGTACAATAGTTTTTCAAAAATAATGTAAGTATAATACCGGTTATAGTCACCTAGATTTTTAGCACTGTGACCTGGGGCAAGGTTAAGAATATACATTCTATGCTTATTATTCGTTCTCGTTACTATAAAACAGATATCAAAAGATACTATGCTATCAGTTACATTAGTACAACAATAACTCATAAACATGTTCTCCAAAGTAAGCAGAAAAATAATCCTATTTATATGTATAAAATATTAAATGCGGGATAAATATAAATGTATTGATGTTTGTTTGTTACTTTTGACTTCTGAGCTAATTTAATTAAATCAACATTAATTAAATTTATAAAAATTAAAGACTACTATGGGATTTCTTTGTTTTCGTTATTAAAAGAATGACATTTTTGAAATGTAGATAATGTTGATGATAAAAGAAACACATTGAAAAAGTTATATAATTTATATATCATACATTGATAATTTTGATAACTTTATGAACTTGATGTTTTAAGGTGTTAGCTCTCTGCGCGTTTGTGGCAGTAGCTCAAGCTGGGCTGTTAGCTGCTCCAGTTCACTATTCTCCAGCTGAGGCCGTCTCCTCCCGGAGCATCGTGCGTCACGACCAACCCAAAGCCATCGCCGCAAAATTGGTGTCCGCAGCCCCTGTCTACCACGCTGCACCTGCTGCTGTTTCCTATCATGCTGCCCCAATCGCTAAGGTTTTAGCTCATCAAGAGGAAATCGTAAGTGAATCTTTACATATTTTGTGTATTAACCAAAATTGTATTAAAAACTACTACGTGATATAGTGTATGAAATATCGTAGAAAATTTAAAATTAAATAAACTAAGTTAACTAGCTGATCGCCTAATAATGTGTTTTCTCTCAGGCATACCCCAAATACGAGTATACTTATTCTGTGGCTGATGGACACACTGGTGACAAAAAGTCACAACAAGAATCCCGTGACGGCGATGTCGTGAAGGGCTCGTACTCTTTCCTCGAGGCTGATGGTTCTGTACGTACTGTGGAGTACGTGGCTGATGACCACAACGGATTCAATGCTGTGGTACATAACAGTGCACCGACCGCTGTTCCTGCTTTTATCAAGCCTGCCCCAGTCCTGTTCAAGGCTCCAGCTCTCCAATATTATCACCACTAGACTTAAACCTGTGACAAAAATATTATGTTGTTCTTAATATTTGTTAATTTATTTATTAAAATATACGATTAAGACACAGAAGGTTTTTTTGTAGATATAATAATATGACAACATTGAAAAATTCAGAAGCATAAAGTCTAATCGCTGATCACGATTTTTGCAATATCAAGGTCTGAGAAAAATTACCACCTATATTCCATTTAAAAATTAATAACTAGGCAAATAGTACTTTAAAATGTAGTTGAGTACTTTTATTAGTTGCGGTATATATATAAATGGTCAACCCGTGGATCTTAGTTTGGTGGAATGGTCCAGGAGTAGAAATTTGTCAATATATTGATTCCTATATTTGTTGTGATTTGCAATTTAATAACATTTATTTCTAAACAACAATTAGCAGCTACGTACATATTTAAAATTTATTATATTTGGTAGAGTGGAACTAAAAAACCTATTTATATTATTTTTTAGTCATATTTTTTTACCACGATATTAACAAATTACTTTGGATACTTATAATTAATAGTAATATAGGTGCTACCATCACCAACAACCGTTTGACACCCACTGCCGAGCATAACAATATAATACAGTAATTTAATAATAAATTAAAATATTAAAATAAATATACATATTACTCAAAGGTGACTGACATAGTGATCTATCAATGCACAGCCCAAACCACTGCATGGATCGGGCTCAAATTTGGCATGCTGGTAGACATTATGACGTAGGCGTCCGCTTAGAAGGAGGAATGAGAATTTTGATCAATTCCACCCCCAAGGGAATAAAACAGGGGATAAAAGTTTGTATTAAACTTTCTCAATTTTAAACCGATCGGGCTGAGATTTTGCATGCGTAAAGCTACTATGATGTGGCATCTCCTCTGACGTGGATTTTGATCAAGTTATTTCAGGTATTTTACACGATGTAATGAATAAATATTGGTTAGAAATGCTGCTCAAAGTAACTTCACCACGCGGACGAAGTCGCGGGCTAAAGCTAGTTATACATACAATTTTTATTCCAACTTAGCATCATTCTTCGTTCCTAGCATAGTCATTAGGTTACTTGTTTTTAGTGCGTGTGTAAAGGAACTGCATGTCTTGATTCCAATAAACTCTTTTCATGATATATATATTTAGAAGCTTTTTTTGTCATAAAATATAGCCTATGTACATTGCATATGATGTACAATATTTAAAAACATTCCAATAGTTTCAGAGGCTACTCGATGCAAACAAACAAACAATCAAATCTTTCCTCTTTATAATTTTAGTATAGAAGTATATAATGAGTATAATGTGTCACGATGTTATAAACTCCGTAAGAACTAAACCGTTTTTAGTAAAATTTCACACGTCTCTGTTATTTGGTCTGTCTTATAAGATTGAATATTTTTAACATATTTCAAAACAAGATTCCCAGATTGACTTGTATGTATGTATATTTGTAAGTATATATGTTCGTGCGCAATTATCTCGCATCTGGCTGGACCAATTTTGACGCGGATTTAAGAAAAGTATTTTTAGAGTTACTATTATGTAAAAAATATCAATATACCTGAAAACATGAAATGAAAACTTTCTTAAACTTTAAAAGAGGGAAATACTTTACTTATCTATTGAATTTGGGCGCCTTTCATTTAATTAATAATCCACAGTAAACCTCGACTCGACTTTAATAGCATTTACTTAAATAAGTTGCTTTTGAGATAAGTATTACTTTTTTAAGATGGAACAATTATGATGAAGATATGGAGTAAAACATTAATGCAATTTACCATGACTACTGAGCCACTGCAGCGCGTATCAGGTCAGTTAGTACTTTATTGAAATCACAGCAATGCATCTCTCGCCTTCGGGGAGCTCGGGATATTGTGGTACTCTCCTGTGTCAAAATCTCACCTGTTCGCACTGAAAGTCTTTTAGTTCTAGTTTTTATTAAATCTGATAAAGAGAGGAATGCGAATAACAACTATTAATATCTACTAACAATAGTATTGTAACTATTAACAGTTCTTACTCCATTCGACTTCTTGTTTACTTAGTAAAAATATCTGTTTAAGTTATGACATACTCTCGATTAATTACTTCTTTTGTCTATAGATTCATATCTAATAACATTCATAGGTTAAACTATATTTTACAAGGCGCCAAATATAAATCAACCCAGTTTGTAATAAAAAGGAAAGTTTGAAGCTTCTTTTATACATTTTATCGTCTTGTTATTGTCTATTGTAGAGCATACAGTAATGCAAACGATTTCTTTACTGAACAAATTTTTTTGTTACTACAAGTTTTGAATAAATATAGATAGGTAATTATGTTCTGATTTCTTACTATTAGATGAATGATATCCTTATAAGTATTAGAATGGTAGTCTTTTACGAGATTGCTACCATGTAACTTGTTTATTATATTTATTACTATTAGAAATAGCTAATTAATTATTTAATAATAGAATGTGTTAGGGCATTTCATTGGAATTTAGCTAAATCCTGTAAGAATTTTTGAAAAGTATGTTAATGCATTACCTTTCAGCAAGAAACTAACTAGGCCATTTATTTGCAGATACACTAATTTAGTCGACTTCTAATTCAAATTTTTTTAGGATTCAATTAAATTATTAAACGGCCTTTCGTATCTATTGTCACAGATACACATAAACACTATACTATTGTGTAGGTCACATTTAAAATAGCTATAAGTAATTGTAAGTAGCATTTTATTCTATTTAGATATTTTCATTTTCCTACCTTCGTTGTATTATTGTAACGGGTATCGTTGTTTCCAAGTAGATCTTAATATATCAATGCATATCTTTTCGCTGAGAAAGATCTTAATATAAGCAACGGTAAAAACAGTTTAAGACAATTGATCCCAATTATAAAATTCGATTGAATTAAATATATAGGAAAATTTATCTATTGGGTTGTGGATGTTATGGTTATAAAATTAGTTATTATCGATCTTAATCGTTTATTGCGTATCTATAATAAATAAATTAACAAACATTTGGTCAACGTAAAATCCTTTTGGTGTAGGATTCAGTCTAGTGGTGGTAGTATTGGAGAGCGGGAGCCTTGAGCACCACAGGGGCGGCCTTGATGATGGCAGGAGCAGCGGTGGGGGCGGTGTTGTGGACGACTGCGTTGAAACCGTTGTGGTCATCGGCGGTGTACTCAACGGTACGGATGGAGCCATCAGCTTCATGGAAGGAGTACGAACCTTTCACCACATCACCGTCGCGGGATTCTTGCTGAGACTTTTGGTCACCGGTGTGCCCGTCAGCTACGGAGTATGTGTACTCATATTTAGGGTATGCCTGAAAGAAATATAATATTGTCAAGAGGGTATAAACCAAATCAGTAAATATAGGATTGATTATAGCCAAAGTAATACATACTAAATAAACTGTCAGAAAGTATTTTAAAAAGAGGAAACATTTTTATCGATGGCCATTGATAAAGATTTGAATTACTTGATTATGAAAATTAATAGATATTTGAATTACTTTGAGTCGATTTCGCAATCATCTTGAGGAATTTTCGAGTAATTAAGTATAATTTCCTTCATTGTCTGGTCTTGCGTTTTCTGTTTGTTTTCTCTTCACCTTTAAGTGCAATCTTAACGTAGAGAGCGACGGTCGAATTAATATTATGTTCTTAACGAAAAATGCTTTTTTTTTGGTCTGCTAATATACGTAAAACCTTCTCCTAAGTTTGACAAATACTATGCTGAAAATCGCACCAAAATCGGTTTATCCAAACGCGAGACAATCGCGCAAAAACATGTATTTATATATACATACACACACATAGGTCAAACTGAGAACTACCTTTTTTTGAAGTCCGTTAAAATCTGCTTACACCTGATGGCCTATTCATGATGAGCACTTGTAGGAAAAACGGATGGAACCGAAAAGCTCACTTAGTGAATTAGATTGATTGAATATTCAATCAATCTAATTCACTAAGTCCTTTAGTAGAAATAACTTACGATTTCTTCCTGGTGAGCCAAGACCTTGGCGACAGGGGCAGCATGGTAGGCGACTGCAGCGGGGGCAGCGTGGTAAGCTACGGCAGCGGGGGCAGCGTGATAGGCGACCTGGGCAGGGGCAGCATGGTAGGAGACGTGGGCAGGGGCAGCTTGGTAAACGGGAGCAGCGGCTACCAGCTTAGTAGCGACAGCCTTAGGTTGGTCATGACGGACGATGCTCTGGGAGGAGACAGCCTCAGCCGGAGAATAGTGGACGGGCGCGGCTAACAAACCAGCCTGGGCTACCGCCACAAATGCGCAGAGGGCTACCACCTTAAAAATGGAGAAGACATTACAGTCATAATGATTTAATCAGTTTAAAACTTAAATATTTCCATCTGACTGCATTACCACAATATTTCTGATGCTTAATAAATTGATCAATATTGTAAATTTCTTAGAGTATCAAAACCTGTGTAACTTACTTTGGAGAACATGTTTGTGTTTTGTTGTGTAAACGTTGACTGATACACAGTGTTACAACTGATTGGTTTTATAGTTACAGTCTCTGTTGGATTTGTAGGTTTGTCGGCCTTGCCTCGGGACATATTTTGACAATTCTAGCCTCTAATAGCTGGATTACTTTCACAATATACTTTAAAAAGTGGATTCTATTTATTTTTAAAAGCCACATTATCTATTTATCAATTTGTCCTTAGACTTTGAAACAATAAACAAGATTTCTTTTTTTATTATATATTTTAATAACTAAATTTGTGCCAGCGGCTTGAATAATATGTCATAGAACAGTTCAGTGGGATAAAAAGCAATCTGTATGTTAATTCAGGCTTAGACTTATTCACGTATCAAATTTCATCAAAATCCGTTCCGTAATTTTTTCGTGAAAGAATAATAAACTCACTATCTTTTTCAATTATATTAGTAAAATTCGATGATCTACTTTATTTGTTGTTGAAATATTCATGTTAAAAATAAAACAAGTCCATTTAATTTTTTAATATTTAAACAAATTCTCATATAATTACAAACAATATCATCCCATAAATTATAAACTTAATTAAAAACTTATTCAAAATTTATATTTACAATTAAAATATTTGGTTGGTTTGAGTTCTATAGAAAATGAATACATAATCATAGAGCAAATAGTTGAAAAATTATTCTCAACTTTAAAGTTGAATATAAAATGAACATCGTTTTCAAACTTGAATAATTCACATATATTTAAATGTTTAAGACAGTTCTTGATTTTAATTAATAAATTTACTATGAGTTTATTCATTAATCATTTTCCAATAATCTGTACTGTACGGGGTAGTTACTAGTTGTTACCGTGAATTTTTCAATTTGTTTACACTATGAATAAATATTACTCTAAACACATATTTAATGCACTTAGCTAGTACTTTTTAAAAGTTTAAGAAAATTGAGGTAAAGATTTGTACATTACTGGAAATAAACGGGTTTTTAGTTCATTGTCTTTCGATTTAGCGTGTTTTTTATTGTGAAGCGCTTGCGATCTGCTTGGCAATTGTTTTATGGTTCTGGAAATATCGTTATGCGCCTTGGCTGGTTGTTTGGCGATATTGTACGGATGTGCTATATTGAGGAGCATCCTGTGATCTTTCGGATGTGGTGGATATCCTTGCATTTGTATATTTAAAGCAGCCATTTCAGGAGTGATCAAGGAGTTGTAATCTGTTATTAAGGGTCCGGGGATGAATCTGTAAATTCAAGATAGAAGTAACTTTAAAAATCTCATACACATTGATCGATAATACCTCAAAACCATTCGGAATGCGTGTGATTTCTATGCCTTATTTTCATTGGTTAGTCATTTATAGGATAGGTTTATCGACGAACGAAATGAACCCATTGAAATCTATCTCAATCCACATGCAGGCACTATCAAAGAATCAAAGAACGATAATAGGAAGATATTTTGTGTATATAGAAAGATATGAGTGGTGAAATTAGCCTATATTATTGAATACTTACGGGGTTGGATTCTCGGCTTTGTACTGTTTGGGTATAAAATCAAAAGTCGGAGCAGACTGCGTTGTATCTATAAGTTCAGGAAGAAGGATTTCTTGATTCATATTGTGAAGAATCAATTGTTTTAGATGATGTTGCTATAAAAAGAAATAAAATATGTCTATTATGAAAAAAAATGTTTTAAAATAATTTAGGTTATTCAATATATTAAATGTTTCACTATTGCCAATTAAATAGTCTTTAAAATTTACCCTGTTAAGTTTTTCGTAAGGTTTCATGTGGGGATAACTTCTATAAACCGCATTATGGCCCGGGTATCTGTTTACAGATTGCATAATTTCTATATTATATCCAGGCACAAATTGTAATTGATCTGGTTTACTCTGTGGTTTCGGTTCCAAGTTGCTCTTTTGAGCGGGAGTTGTGTTTTCTTCAACTTTGGTTGTTTGTTCTTTGCTTTCTTCACGTATTACAGGGGCATATTGTATAACTTGAGGTTGGTAATTTACCCTTGATAATTGATACCCGGGTGTCACTGGGTCTTGCAGTATATTATGGGGTTTTTCTGTTGAATAGATATGAACTGCACTATGTTTATACGATAATGGCACGTCATGGCGAATGTAGCTTTGTGAGGATACAGCATGCTTCAATGAACTGTGGGGTTCATGATTGTTTATCATAACATCACCAGTACATATCGCGGTTAATGTTGCTACTGCGAAAATCTAAAATAACAAAAAACATAAAAATAATTTTAATGTTTATTCACTTATCACAATTCACGTTGTATTTAAATTTACTCACTTTTATTAACATCTTTCCGTACAAACGATATCTGTCGAACTTCGGAAGTGTTTGAAGTCGGATGTAGATTGCTTCACTTTTATATGTAGACTATTCACAAAGAGAAATCGACTGTTATATAACAATTATTATGATAGATGTGTAAGGTAATTATTCTGTGTTCGATTACAGCGCGGTCCTTTAACAAAGCATTTGGGTTTGGACCTTTCACCTTTTTTTAACTTAGGAAAATTGTAACTGATAGCGTTTTGTTTTTTTCGTATAGGCGACTGTTCTAATGCATGTACAATGCTTATGTGAAAGAGATGTTTTCATACGTTGGCCGATGATGTCAACTATGAATGATTGCTTCGTTTTGTTTGCAGATGCTGCAGGAAATTATTACGTCATTCGTAGTTCATATCGGTATAGATTTTGATATTGTTATCATAATGTGTCATTCCCTTCTAGAACAATGAACGTGCATACCTTTTATTTATTTACCTCTGAATGCAAGTAGCCTACTCTATTTATTTATTGCAACAATATTTGATTAACTGAAAAGTAGTTGGGATCCCAGCAATAAATAGAAAGTTACAGTTAAATGTTATAGCAAATATTGTACATACAATTAATAACAGGTAAAAATAATGTAATTACCTAAACCGTTGAAAGTAATTTTTATCGTCAAAAAATAACTTGTAGAAGTACACCGTTCCTATTTATAAAGTTTTAGTATTGAATAGGTACGAGTAACGAATATTTCAGTTATGATAAATTATTGTTAGTTTAATAACAAATAAAAATAATTTGATTTAATTATAAATGTTAATTTTGTAAACAAATATGATAAAAAAGCTTTTAGTTCGAGAGAAGTATTTTTTTTTATTTTCAATCATTAGTATACCAAGGAGAAAGTCTGCCAAAAAAGTCCTGATGGGATGACTGCCTGATGGAACAGTCCAGGCAGACCTTTTTAACATAGACAGTAAAGTTGAGGGGGAGGATAGTGTTTTAAAACATCCCTACTTTTAAATGGAGACAGAGCGAGCATGTGATAACATCTTCATTTGACTAGGGAGAGACTCCCGCCTATGGACATGCCTAGGATTTTTACTGAGTAGCCCCTTGACCGTAGTTATCCCAGTGAGAATTTTTATTAGCGAGGGAAATTCTCGCAATCCCCCTACCGTCCCATCAAGCGGGCGGAAAGTGCATTCCGCATTTTCCTTAGGTTAAAAACACACTCAAAAAGATATATGGATCAAAGTCAAACTTTAAAAGTTTTCTACTTAATATAGGAAGGTATTCGATGTCAATTCACAGATTTTATTCACATCATATTAAATATTTTCTATTCATAGAAAAAAAAAAAATCTCTAAGAAATTCCCACGAATTGTTCTGCAAATGTTTATAAATTCAACGTAAAGAATAGAAAATGATTTCTACACAATTAATAGAAATACAAAAGAAACATTTATGTTATGTATTATCTATGTTTTATATGGCATCTCAAAAAAACCTTTTTTCCTTCTCCATTTTGACGACGCTAAGCGTGCATTTGTTAATGTTATTTGTGATTAAATTAATAAAGAGCAGTAAATCGCAATTTTTTAACTTTCATTGATCACGGCGATCATTGTGTCTCTGAAGGACAGAGGACACATCAATTTACGACATTATATGATAACGTTTCTTGAAGTGTTACTCGACTTATTATTTCGACTTATATTATTTCCAATTAGACAGTTGGAAAGAGTAACAAACATAATAATTAGAGATCGTTACTGAAGTTGATCTATGCCTTGTTTTAACTCAGTCAATTTGTAAAATACATAAACGAGTTTCACATACAAATAAATAGTACAACATTTATGTATGAAATTATTTTTGTAACACACAGGAACTATACCAAATCACTTCAAATTGATTGTAACGAAAACAAATAAAGAGTAATGTAAATTGCAATACATTAAATTAGATATAGATTTAAATATTTTGTTCATGTGATAAAAATGAGATGGTAATGTAAATATCAAAAAGTGTTCTAATATACTTGCAATTTGAATTAAGGAGTTTTATGGATAAGGGCAACTATCGCAAGGGTCGGTCACAGAATGGGTGACCAAAAAATATTATCTCGAGCTACGCCATGCTTCGGAAAGCACGTTAAGCATTTGGTTCCGGCTGCATTTGCAGTCGTTAATACCCTCCAATCCGCATTGGGCCAGTGTGGAGGGTCATGGCCCATCCTCCTTAACCATCCATAAGGAAAGCCTGAGCCTGTAGTGGGGACGTAAAAGGGCTGATGATGATGACGATGGTCTTTATATATGAAACATAAAATATATTTAATTATGGTTATAACCGTAAAGTATATTTTAAAAAATCCAGTCTCTGGTATCCAAAAGTTCTCCAGTCAGTTCGCAGAGCAACAGTGGGTTTTTAGGAAAAAAAATATAATCTCGAGTTACTCCGTGTTTCAGAAGGCACATTAGTCGTTAATACCCTGCAATCCACAAGGAAGGCTCCTGAGATCATGAGGATCTTGAGATAAATTTCGGTTACCCATCCTATTACCAACTATTGCAAAAAATGCTTAACTTTTGCTAGCAGATTGAACGTGCTTACCACTACGCCATCGAGAATCGCAACTAATAACAAAAACTTATTTTTGCGTTTTATTCCGTAATATTTGATCAGCTTTCTCTATCTGTCTCATTGACAGATCTTATGATAGTTAGAACTTTTAAATTAACTCATTACCAACGTTCAACTATAAAATAAATCGAATCTATAAATGTTCTACTTCTGTTGTTGGTGAGATCGAAGATACCAATAGATACAACTATCTTTACATACTTTACTCTGTAATAATAACTTATTACAAAATAAAATGTCTCGACAGTCAGTTAGCTTGCTATTCGTTATGTAATTTATGTTCGATATTTTTTTGCAGTGCTCCAAAACTTATTAGAGTTTTCAATGACTCTTAGCGATAGGCTTAGTAAAGAAACAACCAAGAGGGAGTCGGACTCGCGCTCAGAGGGTTCCATATCATCATTAGTCTATTAATGTCCACACTACAGGGCCTCAAGCCTTTCCTATGGATCGAACTGAATCAAAGCGAATTGGGAGAATAGGTCCAAAGCAGATTGGTGGGTATTAACGAATGCATATGCAGCGGGTAGCAACGGTTTAAAGTGCCTTCCGAAGCATGGAGAAGCTCGAGATATATAATAAAGTTTTGGTCACCCATCCATTGACCGGTCCTTGCGAAAGTTGCTTAACAATCGATTCGTAGACCAATTTTGTTACTACCAATATCAATACCAATAGAGCTTCTAGGGTTCCACACAAATAAAAAAAAAACTTAGACTATTTAAAGGTGTTCTTGTAATCTACAAATATAAACTATTTTGTTTTTTTAATTTGAGGCCTAGTAGTTTCTGAAATCATTTTTTTATCTTTAATCTGTTTATTAATAACTTGATAACTATTTATTGCCTTAATATAAATATAATTTTAAAATAAGCCCTTTAATTTATATGTCACATTAAATAGCTTGCTATTTTTTGTTTTCTAAAAGAGACTGCGACAGATGGAAAGCCATCCAAGCGATACTTTAAGGGTTCCGTTTTTAATTTTTTATTATGGAACCCTCAAAAGAACTATTTTATAGGAGCACCATTTTAAATTCAGGGAATTATGAAGATTGAAAGATTTGCAGTTTTTTTGTTATAAGTATATATTTAAAAATGATTCCAATACAAAAGATTTAGTAATTTCGATATTGTCACGGAAAGTGTTTTTTTTATTATAATAATTGAGTGGTTCAATTATGCATTAACAAACGAAAGATTAGCTGTTGACACATGATTCGGTGTAGGTCGTTGCTTGAGGGTATTTATCTCCTGTCCAAGTAACAAGCATATATATTATCAATTATTATACTAATTTTTTTATTTATATTATTTTTATAAAATATTTTTAATATGTTTTATTATGTATATATTTAAATAAAAGAGCTATATCACATATAATGCTACTCACTATATTAACTTACTACTTTCGCACCAAAAGTTACTAAAGCAGTTTTAATGTATTGTAATTTGAAAGTTTGATATATTTTCTAAATTTGAATATTGAATTGTTTAACAGCTGTCTTTATTAAACGTTTTCAAAATCTAAAATAAGAGGCTTCTACTTATTTCTTGGAAGCGTTTGCTCTTCTATAGTCGGAATAAGTGTAGTTTTTAAAACAAAGGAAGCGTTATCCCAAATTTAGAAAATATATGAAATTCAGAAACTTCTAAAGTGGGCGGTAAAAATTTCCGCTCGGTGACTTTTTAACTTTCCACAGGAATTTATTCAATTTCACTTTGTGTATATTCGAATCTTGCCAGTTATATTGGCCCATTTCCCAGTTTTTGATTGAGCTAATGCATGCATATATACCGAACTCGAGTGACAATATATCGTAGTATTGATATACTATATTGTCTCTCGAGTTCGGTATATATGCATGCATTAGATCACTGAAGCTGATGCTCTATCAAGTTTAAGTTGTGATTTATTTTAATTAGGACTTTGATCCGACAGATCATGTAAATTTGTAATTAAATAACGCAACTGGCTTGGATTTGTTTGATTGATCTAATACAAGATCTCTGTTTTAAGATATGGTCTACGATCGCGAATAAAAGCTCAAAAAACAACAAATAATTTCAAATCATGTTCTAGCGTTAAAGGGAAAAAGACCGACTTCTACAGGCAGCACTATTTGTCGATTATAATACAAACATCTCTATCTGTCAGTAAGCTGTCACTGTTACTTTGACTTTGACTTTTGGTCAGTTTCGTGCCAATATACTGCCGGTTTGACATTGATAAGCTATCAGAATCCACCAATAACTTTTTAATAAATTATTAGAATCGACATCGTAATTTTAAATGTATCGATTGAATAGTAAAATGTCCTTAATCGTATGAAGTAGACCGAGGGATTTCTCGAAACATAAAAATTATTAGCAAGTTTGTTTCATGGCATATCAATTCATATAAGACGATGCCTTACAGATACTAAAAAAAATATATAAAATCGCTGCACTTTCATAAATTGCACCACATTTTATCTCTTCTTATAAATAGTGTATAATGCATAGAACATGTAACATGCTTTGACGCGTACCGACCAGCTATGCGGTTATCCGTGACCTTAAATCTGGGTCAGATATTTCGCCTTTCGGTAGTAGTTCAAGCCGAAATCTTTTATCGATACTTGTACGTTATTAGTCGTTTATATTGTCATTGAACTTTAATTTTAAACTCGTTTCGGCCATATATGGGTTTCATTAATTTATTATAATTATGAACTCTTTTTTAAGACTGTTATTCAAATTACGGAGATTTTTTATAAAAAATTGTTTCTTTTTTATAAAACAGAAAGATGGTACATTCATTTGGTTTTTCATGTGAACGTAAACAGAAAAGTTTCACAATTGAGCCTTTTTTATCTAAAAGTAAAGCACTGTGAATTCGAAATTAATCAAATATAAAAAAAAAACTGTCATGTTATAATGACGTAGGTGTAGAATGAAAGAATTCTTTTAATCGCTCCACTAGTTTGGGAGGCTATTATTGCAAAGAATCAATCAGTATTTTCACTTTATAAACAAATAAAATATTAATACATAACAAAAAAAAATGAACTTGCAACAGAGCTCTCAAGGCCAAGAATTGTCTTTTCCAGATGGAAACGGAAGTCCCCTCTGGACTTGTGCACATGAATAACTTTCACAAAATTTGTAAACACTATTGAAGTGGCCAAGTCACTGGACTTGATACCACATAAAGAATAATACATTTAAACGACATTACACTATTGCTAAGTGTCCGATTATGACAGTACTTATACAAAAAAATTAATAAAATATAAAATATTAGTATAGAAAAAGTACATCCACAGTATACACGGAAAATTTTTGAGTACATAACATTACATAACATAACACTTGAAGAAGTGTATCAGAACACTAAATATATAAAAAAGTTCATAACCTGAAATCGTCTCTGAAAACACATAAATATTGATAAATTCGTTAATCAATAAAACAGCAAGCCGCGTGCGTACGCGTCATTCATTATTTCAATGATTGACGAAACAAGTCAAAAGATAATGTTAACATCACTTTCATTAAAAATTCGTTATGGATCAGATTAACAAATAATTATCAATAACTTCATTATTATTTTAGATGTACTTTTAAATTAATTGAGTGACAAATGTAATAACTACATTAAAAGATAGAAGTAATAATTTCATACTGTTTAAAAATCATAATGAAGTCTACAAATCTTCACATTGCTTTTAAATACATAAAGAATATTTTATTATTTTCTTAATTTTAAAATTATAACAAGGTTCTTTTGAATACGTTTCATATTTTCAAAGAATAAAACACTCAAACTATCAACGGATCATTAAAATTAAATATTTTAGGTATCAACAATGTCAGTAAATTACAGTCAATTATATTTTATATTTCGTATTCATATCGACTGTTCTGTGCTAAAAGCTATGGTGGTCAAAGTCATTTCCTTTAAAAATTAGGTCACGTCCGCTTTGGTGTGTTTTACAGACACTTGGTCATTACAGAGGCTAACCTCATTGTAAACCACTTTTTTAAATACAATTCATATATAATTTAAGTCTGATATCACGAATCCTCTTATTATCCACAATTCCTTATACTATAATGCTTTCAGGGATATTGAAAGCGCAAACCAACGTCTTTCAATTCGGTTAGTAATGTAAGTACGCAATATATAAGTTGCCGAATTGTAAATATAGGTGTTGAAAAAACTATGATATAATAGTGATAGTGTTGTAGATAGGCGATAATAATAAAATAAGACAAAAAAAACTGCATAAATGTGGAGAAGCTTAGTATAAAAAAAATCGGCTAGTAAGTTTTAACAAATAAAAAAATAGAAATTGTTATATTATGACATTAAAAATTTGACTTTAAACGACATACCGTCGATCTTTATTCATGATCATTTAACAGTAATAATTCTAATCACCTTACATGCAAATTCAAGTTTCGCTCAGGTTGACTGGTAGAGAATGCCCATGGCATTAAGTCCGCCATTTGTGTTTTATTGTAAGCAATAAAGAGTAAATAAATAAATAACATAAAACAAACCAAAGGAACGCAAATTATGCAATTTTGTTATGGCATTTATTTTGACAACATGAATATGTCATCTTAATAAGTTATTTATTAGAAAGAATGATTCTATGTGTTTATTTTTATAAAAAAAGTGACCTAAATTTTATATTTTTTCCAATAAGAATATATATAGCACTAGCTGTTCTTCTGCGACTTCGCTCACGCAAATCTTAATTTAAGTCATTCACGAATCGCACTCAGAGCACTTTCAACGCAAAGAATAAAATAATTTTCCTTTATAATAATTCAAGAGACGGCGTCATAGAGATGAAAAATATATAAACTTCATGGCGTTATAGCGTCGAACATGAATCCTCCTTTGAAGTCCTTAAAAATGACGTCGGAATTGCTAACAAGACGAGCCGGTCGTTCGTGTATAATGTAGTAATGCATCGTGTCGAATTTATGAATGAGTGACTCATCTTTATTTACTATTACATAAGGTTGAGGTCAAAGTCAGCGCATCAAAATATCCATTCGTGTCAAGATTCGAGTCCATTCATAACTTGTATTTCAATGAAATATTTTTTTTATTCTACTTCGTAAGTTTTCATACTTAATTGATTATTTATAATTAAATATCAAAACAAGAGTTCTAAAAACTTTTTAATATAATAAATACAATTTATATGGTTTAATTAATGAATAATCTGTATCCATATAGGTGAAAAAAAAAAAAAAAAATTTTGGTCTAGAAATTTAAATTTACTTACTTTTATTTATTTTAAATGAATGAATATATATCTTTTAGTTGTAATTACTAATATTAGTTGATAAGTATTTTGATAGTACTAACCAAATATGGACGTAAATAATATTAATAATTATTTAGTACCGATAATAAATGTACTAAATAATTGCAAAGTGAACTAAAAGGTACTGAATAGACTTTAAATATTATTTTATATAACTTTCTAGTGACTACGGACTCTTTAATTTGACGCATTTAAGTCTAAGCAATATAGCCTACATCTTCATTTACCCACGAATAACAATATAAATACGGCGTGAAGATATATAAAATAGTATAACAATTTGTTTGTTAATAGTGTGATATAGCAATTTGAATATTGAAGAAAACTTTTACGTCTCCTCTAGCAGCGGTGGCTTCATGACCCGTCAACCTTGTCACGCCCAAAATGCAGCAAGTATATAAACGGTCTCTGGTATGTGTAATACATCAGTTGCAAATCGAACAAGAAGCAATATGTTCTCCAAAGTAAGAAAATAAAAAATATATAAAAATTTTATATAATAATATTCTCTTCATAAGAATATAATATAAAATATCTTATTCACAGATCGTGGCTTTGTGTGCTGTAGTAGCGGTCTCTCAGGCCGGAATTGTACCTGCCGCTGTACATTATTCTCCAGCTGAGGCTGTCTCTTCCCAGAGCATCGTCCGTCATGACCAGCCCCATGCTGTAGCTACTAAGCTGGTGGCCGCCCCTGTTGCTAAACTGGCTGTGGCCGCCCCCGTCGCCTACCACGCTGCCCCCGTCGCCTACCATGCTGCCCCCGTCCATTACTCCTCCGCCGACTCCGTTTCTTCTCAGAGCATCGTTCGTCATGACCAGCCCTCCGCCAAGCTCTTAGCCGCAGCTCCCGTTTACCACGCCCCTGCTCCCGTGGCCTACCACGCTCCAGCTCCCGTGGCCTACCATGCTGCCCCAGCTCTCACAACCTACCACGCCGCTCCCGTCGCTAAAGTAATTGCCCCCGCCACCAAAGTTCTCGTTGCTCATCATGAAGAAGAATACGTAAGTAATAGCAAAGATTTTTTTCAAACGTCATTACCTGTTATCTAAACGAACAGTAAATAATAAAAATACTTTTGGTTACAGGCGCACCCCAAATACGAGTACTCCTACTCTGTTGCTGATGGACACACCGGTGACAACAAGTCCCAACAAGAGAGCCGCGACGGTGATGCCGTGCATGGCGAGTACTCCCTGGTGGAGGCTGACGGCTCCGTGCGCAAGGTGCAGTACTCCGCTGATGACCACAATGGATTCAACGCTATCGTCAGTCATTCCGCTCCGGCGCATCATGCTGCCCCTGCTCCCGTCCTCCTTGCCCACCATTAAGCAGCCCATGACCGTATTAATCACTTAGTGGTTAAGTACAAAGAATGAAACTTGTAAATAGTCATTAGATTTATTTATTATAAACGAATTAAAAGCAGTTATTGCTTGATATATACCATACTTTTAATTTAAGGTTGTCCTTTCAAATCACTTAGAATATCTACTTTTGTATTAAATAATGTTAAAAACAAAGTCCCTAATAATATGAATAAACCTTTTGGATAGACTTAATAGGACTCAACTTACTTATCATTAGGTTCGATTTTGACCAAAAACCAACACAGTTTTACATAAAAGAGCCATAATGTTCAAGCGTAGAGCATATTCGTCCCTCAAAGGCCGAAAGCGCGCTTGTAGCTCCACTGGTGTTGCAGGTGTCCATGGGCGGCGGTAATCAGTCACCATCAGGTGATCCGTCTGCACGTCTGCCCCCTATCCCATAAAAAAAAGAAACAAATTTCCATATGTTCTTATTTATTTAATAAATAATTGACTTTTTTATCAAGAAGATATTTTTACTGAAATAGAATCATAAAGTGAGGTTAGTTTCGTAGTGTTAGTAAGAACTCAATATTACTATTTAGGCAAGGTGACTAGAGACAAACGGTCTTATTGGATGAATTATGATTTTTAATCTAAATTTAATAAAATATTATTAATGGCTCAATGGCGTACATCTCGCAGGTGCTTGAGGTATGTACACCTCCATAAATAAAAAAATGTTAGACTTATTTTAGCGATACTGATACTATAGGCAAGCTCTCATTAAGCTTTGATTTGATTAAACATTATGATGTACTAATTTCAACCGTTAGAAAACCCGAATATTCGGCTTCGTATACGCCCTGTAGACGTAAATTAGACTTCTAGGCTTAAATGAATTCAGAAGCAACTGCTTAATTTAGTGTTTTAGGAGTACCGTCCACTTACACCATTACTACAACTCCGCCTCTTAAAAGCAAATTACGTTTTATTTAATATGATTGGTGGACTGTATAAACAAATAATTAAAAGCAGCCAAATAAGAGATTTTTACTTAACTTATCTCATTTCATTATCTTTTGCATTGTTTTAATTGAAAAAAATATTTAAAAATCTTCTCTAATGAGGAAGTATTAAAAAAAAAACATTAGCTCCCGAAATTAAACTAGATACGGTACGTTCTTGATTTCTCTATGAAAACCCTTCCGGTTTCCTTTCATGTTTAAAAGTAAATTAGTTTTCAAAACTCAATTAAAAACTCATATTCTAATTGTACTTTTTGGTATTTGTATTGATTTCTAACTTTTGAACTTTCCAAATTTAAGTTTCTTAATATGTTAGATAAAAGGAACGGAAATGACTGTCTTTGGTCCATTCGTTTCCCGCAAAAATCAACTTTTTCTAGAGTCGTCATTTAGTGGAGGTGCTTCTTTAGTGCTATCGTTTTTTTTAGTTACTTCCTCATTATTTAGGAAGAAATCTATGATATCGATATGCTTTACTCGATGGCACACCTTACTTTAAATTTCTCTATATCTTGTCACCTATATTTTAGTAAAAGAGATTGGTATTAAAAATAAAAGTTTTTCAATATTGTGAATAAAATTGATAACTGTCTCAGAAATTTTAAAAAGAATAATAATCTATATAAATATCTATACACTCAACTTATACCAGATGGTTATTAAAAAGGTGGAACCAGTGTCAACCAATTATAGTCATATATTTCACATTTATACAAAGCCTTTTTTTATCTAAAAGTTAATGCCATTACTTACTTTGACATATCGTTCGATGTAGCTAAAAACCGGCCAAGTGTGAGTTAGACTCACGCATGAAGGGGATGAATATCTATGTATAAAACACACAAAAAATCACGTTTGTTTTATGGGAGTACCCTTAAATGTTTATTTTATTCTGTTTTTGGTATTTGTTGTGAGATGGATGGGTACCGGGCAACCTGAAATGGTTCGTATTCCATCTCAGGGTGCCGAGGACCAAGTGGATTTTTTAATCATTTTCATTAAGAACGTCGAAATAGTTCTAGAATCAGTTAAAGTAAGTTACAAAAAAAAACTGACATGTTAAATATATATATATAACTGAATAAATACTGATATAACTGAATAAATATTATTTATTCATATATTTCTTGAATGACATCTTACATCCGCCGTATTGAATATTTTTAAAAATGTAGATAGAATCTGTAGAAATAAAGAAAATCTTATACAGACATACATTAACATAAATTTTTTGGTAGTCGTGTAAAAAGCACATTCATGTATTCCGTTTAATAAGTGATAACATAGATATCAGAATCTAGATCTTTATGGTCTCTATCTATCTATCTCATTGCACGACGCGTCCATAGGATGGCGAGTAGCGTGTCAAATTGATTTCAATTAATTTCTCGCAAACTATTTCAGTTAGTGTAAATGTGCCGCATATGCTCACGAATTTCAAGTGAGTCATATCATTTTTTTTTTTCATTATCAATTTTTAAGAAATGTGTAATTACAACAAGCAATGGAAAATATGTTCAATTTAGGACTAATTGAGTTATATTTTTTTGTAAAGATTTTTTCTGAAAGTATTTTTTTTAAAACATATTTAATACACTTGTACAAAACCAGTTGAAAGTTAGTGATTTTTGGTGAGTGAGTTGTTTTAATTTCAAATAAAAATATAATAATGTTAATATTTTATTATTAAACCAAAATAATATAAGAGATAAAAAATACATAAACTCTTAAGAGATAGAGTATTATGAGTATAATAAAGAAAACTTTTACGTCTTCTGTAGCTGCGGTCGTTTCGTGACCCGTCAACCTTGTCACGCCCGAAATGCAGCAAGTATATAAACGGTCTCTGGTACGTGTAATACATCAGTTGCAAATCGAACAAGAAGCAATATGTTCTCCAAAGTAAGGAAATTAAAAATGAAACATTTAATAATATGCTCGTTACCAGGAAATAATGTAATAATATCTCATTCGCAGATCGTGGCTTTGTGTGCTATAGTGGCGGTCTCCCAGGCTGGGATTGTGCCTGCCGCCGTACATTATTCCCCAGCTGAGGCTGTCTCTTCCCAGAGCATTGTCCGTCACGACCAGCCCCATGCCGTAGCTACAAAGCTAGTGGCCGCCCCTGTTGCCAAACTGGCTGTGGCCGCCCCCGTTGCCTACCACGCTGCCCCCGTCGCCTACCATGCCGCCCCCGTCCACTACTCCTCCGCCGACTCCGTTTCTTCTCAGAGTATCGTTCGTCATGACCAGCCCTCCGCCAAGCTCTTAGCCGCAGCTCCCGTTTACCACGCCCCTGCTCCCGTGGCTTACCATACTGCCCCAGCTCTCACAACCTACCACGCCGCTCCCGTAGCTAAAGTAATAGCCCCAGCCACCAAAGTTGTCGTTGCTCATCATGAAGAAGAATACGTAAGTAACAGTAAAATATTTTTTCCAAACGTAATTAATTACCTATTACCTAAACGAACAGTAAATAATGAAAATACTTTTGAATACAGGCCCACCCCAAATATGAGTACTCTTACTCTGTTGCTGATGGGCACTCCGGTGACAACAAGTCGCAACATGAGAGCCGCGACGGTGATGCCGTGCATGGCGAGTACTCCCTAGTGGAGGCTGACGGCTCCGTGCGCAAAGTGGAGTACTCCGCTGATGACCACAATGGATTCAACGCTATCGTCAGTCATTCCGCTCCGGCGCATCATGCTGCCCCTGCTCCCGTGCTCCTTGCCCACCATTAAGCAGCCCATGGCCGCATTAATTAATCACTTAGTGATTAAGTACAAAGAATGAAACCTGTAAATAGTCATTAGATTTATTTATTATAGACGAAATAAAAGCAGCTATTGCTTGATATATACCTCACTTTTAAATTATTCCTTTGTCCTTTTAAATTATTTAGAATATCTACTTTTGTATTAAATAATGTTAAAACTAAAATACTTGAAATATCTGCACGAATATGTTAAACTTAATGAAAATCCAACGAGTACGATACACTTAATAAACAATTGGTTTATTTATCAAAAAGACATTTTTACTAAAACAATCATGAAGTGAAGTTAGCTTCGTATTACTATTTAGGCAAGGACATAAATTCGTCGAATTCGACGAACTATCATTTTAATCTATATTTAATAAAATAGTATTGATGGTTCAATGGCATACGTCTCGCAGGCGTTTGAGGTATGAAACACCTCCATAATTAAAAAAATGTAAACTTATTTTAGTGATACTAGCACTATAGTAAGCTCTCATTAAGCTCTGATTTCGTTAAATATTATGATGTGCTAATTTCGTCCGTTAGAAAAATAGAGCGACTATTTGATTTCGTACACGCCTTGTACACATAAATTAGACTTCTAGGTTTAAATAAATTCAGAAGCAACTTCATTTAGTGTTTGAAGAGCACCGTCCACTTACACCATATTACAATAACTCCGCCTCTTTAATGAAAGAAATATTAGCAAATTACGTTTTTATTTAATATGTTTGGTTGACTGTATTAACAAATAATTATAAAACAGCCAAATAAGAGATTTTACTTTACCTATCTCATTTTATTATCTTTTGCGTTGTTTTAAATGAAAAAAATAATAATTAAAGATCTTCTCTAATTAGTGACACAAAAAATAATTTTAATAACTAAAACCGGGTAATGAAGGTGTATTGTTAAAACTATTTTCTGTATCTATGCTTTACTCTGCATGTTGTACTCTATGGCACACCTTACTTTCACTTTCCCCATATCTTGTCAGCCATATTTTAGTGTAAGAAATTGGTGTTAAAAATAAAGGTTTTTCAACACTAAAGGGCTACAGTGTTTATTATTTAATCATGTATTGTGAATGAAATTGACAACTGTCTCAGAAATTTTAAAACGAAAAATAATCACAGCATCGTGAAATAAACAAACTCAACTTTTATCAGCCTGTTATTAATAAGGTGAAAGCAGTGACAACAATTTATACTCATATATTTCATATTGCCATATTTTTACAACATATACATTATACAAAGCCATATTTTTATCTAGAAGTTAGCGCCATTTATTACTTTAAGGTTAAGTGCGGGTTAGACTCGCGCATGAAGGGGATGAATATCTATGTATAAAACGCAAAAAATCACGTTTGCTTCATGGGAGTCCCCTTAAATGTTTATTTTATTCTGTTTTTGGTATTTGTTGTTATACCGGCAAAATGAAGTTCCAGACACAGAACAACGTCAAAATATTATATTAGACCAATTTCGCATTCACAATGCTATACTGAAAAATATTCTGAAAGAAAAATGCTTAAAAAATCCAATTGGTCAGTCCAATCCAACAGATGGATGAGTTCGTATCCCATCTCAGAGTGCCGGGGACCAAGTGGAGTTTTTAATCATTTTTCATTAAGAACTTCAAAATAGTTCTGGAACCAGTTAAAGTCGGTTCCAAAAAAATTTCAAATTATATATATAAAATTCTTGGGTTCGAGTACCTTGGGATACCTGGAATTTTTTAAGCATTTTTCATTAAAAATATTTATCAGTATAACCTTGGGAATGCAAAATTGATCATATATAATAAAAGGAACAGTTGGATTTCTCAATGCAGTTGTGGGACCTGTTAGATTACAATATTCCATAGAACTGCAATGAAACTATTGTTTAGGTAAGCCACAACACAAACTGTTTCTTTTATTTTTAGTTCGATTAAGGCAGTCGCGTTTTTTAAATTTTATATTATCAATTTTTATTTTATTCCTTTTAGTGACCAATATATAAAGTATGTTCAAATAAGTTTTCAATGTTATCATCAAGACCTTTTATTTGATATTCATATTGCTACAATTGAATATATTATTTTTTAATATTTTTTAAATGACGTTTACTATTGAATATTTAGAATAATAAAGGTAGAGTTAAACAAAATCTCATACAAAATACATTAACATAAACATAAACATTTTTTGTTAGTCGTGTAAAAAGCATATTTATGTAGTCTGTTTAAAAGGTGATAACATAGATAATCTAGATCTCTATGGACTCTAGCTATCTAACTTATTGCACGACGCGGCGAGAGAATGGCGAGTAGCGCGTCAAAAATGATTTCAATTAATTTCTAGCAAATTATTTCAATTATTGTAAAAGTGCTGCATAACCCACGAATGTCAAGCGATTCATATATGTATCATTTTTCCTTATAAAACGTGTATAATTACAACAAGCAATGGAAAATATGATGAATTTTAGGGCTATCTTAGTGATTTTTTTTGTAAAGAATTTTTTTATAATTTATTTTTTAAATAAATTTGTAATACAATTGTACATAACTAGTTGAAAGTGAATAATGTTTGGTGCGTGAGTTGTCTTAATTTCGAATAAAAATATAATAATGTTAATCTTTAATTATTAAACAAAAAAATACAAAAACATATAAGAGATAGAGAATTCTGAGTACAATAAAGAAAACTTTTACGTCTACTATATCTGCGGTCGCTTCATGACCCGTCAACCTTGTCACGCCCGAAATGCAGCAAGTATATAAACGGTGACTAGTATGTGTAATACATCAGTTGCAAATCGAACAAGTAGCAATATGTTCTCCAAAGTAAGGAAATTAAAAATGAAACATTTAATAATAGGCTCGTTACCAGGAAATAATGTAATAATATCTTATTCGCAGATCGTGGCTTTGTGTGCTGTAGTGGCGGTCTCCCAGGCTGGGATTGTGCCTGCCGCCGTACATTATTCCCCAGCTGAGGCTGTCTCTTCCCAGAGCATTGTCCGTCACGACCAGCCTCATGCCGTAGCTACTAAACTAGTGGCCGCCCCTGTTGCCAAACTGGCTGTGACCGCCCCCGTTGCCTACCACGCTGCCCCCGTCGCCTACCATGCCGCCCCCGTCCACTACTCCTCCGCCGACTCCGTTTCTTCTCAGAGCATCGTTCGTCATGACCAGCCCTCCGCCAAGCTCTTAGCCGCAGCTCCCGTTTACCACGCCCCTGCTCCCGTGGCTTACCATAATGCCCCAGCTTTCACAAGCTACCACGCCGCTCCCGTCGCTAAAGTAATAGCCCCAGCCACCAAAGTTCTCGTTGCTCATCATGAAGAAGAATACGTAAGTAACAGTAATAGTTTTTTTCCAAACGTAAATACCTATTACCTAAATGGACAATAAATAATGAACATTCTTGAATACAGGCGCACCCGAAATACGAGTACTCTTACTCTGTAGCTGATGGTCATTCTGGTGACAATAAATCGCAACACGAGAGCCGCGACGGTGATGCCGTGCATGGCGAGTACTCCCTGGTGGAGGCTGACGGCTCCGTGCGCAAAGTGGAGTACTCCGCTGATGACCACAATGGATTCAACGCCATCGTCAGTCATTCCGCTCCGGCGCATCATGCTGCCCCTGCTCCTGTCCTCCTTGCCCACCATTAAGCAATCCTTATTTGTTTTGATAAACCACTTAATTATGGTTAAGTGCAAAGTATGAAATATGTCAATAGTTATAAAATTTATTTATTATTACAAAAAAATAAAGGCTGCTAAATATATACGATACTTTAAATTTGATACCTATATATTTAAATAGTGACCGGTTGATATTATTAGATAATAATATGTTATGGTAATAAAATATAATGAAAATGAACGTATGTTCAAAGAAAGTCCATGATTTAGTTTCACAAGTCCCGTTCCATCATCGTAACATCAAAAAAAGCTGAGACTTTAAAATTAAATTTTTTGCTTACTTAGTATGAGATAAGATGGAGAGCAATTTCTAACCCAGTTTTATATAAAAAAGCTCGAAAAATTAAAACAAAATTTAATATTGAAAGTAAAAAAGACCTTGCTCTTATTTGTTAGTTTCAGAAATTTGTAATTTAATTGATATTCCCATAATATGTATTGTTACCTGTAGAACTTCAGTGAATTATATTAATAAGGAAAATCTAATAACAGTGAAAATCCCATCAAAACATAACACACAAAAATGTACAATAGTCGCAAAGTCATTCGTCTGCTGTAAAAAGTTGTGAAATCATTGTCGAACAAGTTTGTTAATTTTATGTTAATTTAATCCAATTAACCGACTTGGTTGACGTTTGATTTCATTTGTGACAAATTGGCAGCTAACCAATTTGTCATAATAACTAACAAACGCATATAGCATCATAATATATCAAGTAATATATCGTACGATGAGAACGATAGTGACACAATGCAAAAAATGCGATTTTGAGTAATGAGCGTTTAAAGTTCAAGAAATTGTAATCAGCCCCTCTAAACAGCGTATCGTCACTACGCCACCTAGCAGTTTCTAAGCAAGCTACGTTCGCGGGGATCTTTTCATTTAAAGTTAATGTTTAACATCGTTTTTGGTTAGTGACATTGTCATTCTCAACGTGCGATATAGTCCTTTATGTACATACGTAAGTTTAGAAATTATTTTCATTTACGTAGGAATCTTTTTGCCATACCTACTGTGGAACCTAAGCATTTACAACCTTTCTTACTAAGAAAAATGTTATCTATGGTAAAGTGAACAATGTCAAATCGCCGAAATTGTCAATTTAATTTCCATTTCTACGCCGTTAGTACACCGAAGCATGCAAAACAACTGCGAAACTATGCGAATGATGACAGGATTGTCATCTTTTGAGAAACAAAATTTGTGAATTTCAGAAAACGGGTCAGGTGGCAACCTTGAATACGAGACATGCATGCGTCTGTGTAATGACCTTTTTCGCAGTCGACTGCGAAACCATACTGACAAGGACGCAGCTATATCATCAAGCTACTAATAGAGCGAGACGAAGCACATGCGAAACATTACTATACCACTAACAAGATTTATATATATTTAAGCGTCGGTGCACTAACGGCGTTAAAAACTAAAAGTTCTTATTCAAGCATTATTTATACGAATTTATAGGAGTAAAGACTTTTCTGTAGACTCGTTATTCACAGACTTAAAACTATAAAATTTACTTTTCCCGTGGGCCAGAATGCCATTTTAGCTTCTTTTTGCTTCACTATACCAAATGACGAACTTGCATAATACATTTTGCTATAGCAAAAGATAAATGGTATTGTTGAATAAAGTGAACTTACTCGGTCGTCTGATAATAAAAAGTAGTATTTTTAAGCTCCGTAAAGATTCCCTTTATCACAGCGTGTTGAATGATGCACCAAAAAATAAAATGTCTTTTATAATTGTATTGTTAAATTTTATGATTATTTCTATGTTTATTTAAGGGTGCGAATTTTAATTTTAAAATCTTGTTTAGTGACCAAATTTTATTATTTTACTATTATAGGACTATGATTTAGTTTAATTAACACACACATATATATATATATATATATATATATATATATATATATATATATATATATATATATATATCAAAGTATTTTAAAACTAAAATAATAATATGACAGAAAAAATGTAAAAATGTGAATGTCAAAAAATTGTAGAAATTAAATAATGTGAATATACATGCAAGGCCATATTTTTGCTAAAATTTAAGGTTATTAAATTTAAAACTAGGTCATATTGGCTGTAGTTCAAAGAGAAAACGTGCCAAGTGCGCTTTGGACTCGCGCATGAAAAGTTCCGTATATTCCATTATCCACAGAAAATGAAAAATAATCAAGTTTGTTGCGTGAATACCCACTTAAAAATTTATTTCATTCTATTTTTTTTTGTATTTTTTGTTATAGTGTTAACTTAATATTTGAAATTATCAGACAACCATGTTTTATGACATACAGGTTGATGACAGACGAATAGACAGAAGAGTCATTGTGTCATTGTTGAACTCCGAAATCATTACTTATGCAGATACTATTATCATTCTAGTTCATGGGACTAAGTGGTCGGAAACTTTATCTTATGTGGAATCTACATTGTTGGCAGTCATGTAATGGCTTTCTGCAAATTTACTTACACTTAACACCGATGTAATCGACAGCAAGCATAGAGGACTGTAGATCGTTAATAATATAACTTTTGACACAGAGAAAGATTTATTGATGACCAACGTACAAAAGCAAGATACATTGAGAATACATTGACAAAGTCAAAAAGTAAAAAAAATATAAATTAAAAACATATAAAAGCCTCCTTAAAAAGGCCAGTAATAATATATCAAAAACATGGTAAGGCTGTCGGCAACAACCGACAAAACCAAATATGTCTTCAAGAGACGCTTCCCAGTCGGATTCTGATCACACATATAAAATAACGTTATAAGTAAAAATGCCTGCCGTTGGGGATCACTTCGAATATTGTAGGAAGTCTACCTCGCGCAGTACGAATTTCAATTTATAAATCTTTAGTAGAATTCATCTCCTATACCTCATTGAAATATGAGGAACTACATGAAAAGCTAACTGTTCAAACTCCAAATTGGCCAATATAAAATACTTAAAATGAATTTCCATTTCCTTTACTTAAAGAGCTCTGAAGAAATATACAAAGAAACTAAATTGATGAATATAGACAACTCTTTGTTTACAATACTTGTATACTGATCTACATTAGTATTTTGAATAAGATTATACGTACAAACATAATCTTTACAAATATCGCACAAGCAGTACACGGAGACCTAATCTTATAGTATTACCAAAAACAAGAACAAATCATGGCAAAACAGCGATAACTTATAGGGGGCACATCTTTATAATAAACTACTGCGTGTAATAATAATAAACAAGCGCATTGTTCAAATTAAATCACTAAAGTTAAAAATGACGTCTAAATTACTAAGATTATATAATCGTTTATATGAATTTATGTATGAGTGACTCAATCTTATAACATAACATAAATCATAACATAATTTGTAAGGTCAAAGTCAGCGCATCAAAATATCCGCCTAAGTAGGATATTTTTAAAATACTTTGATATTCGTAAGTCGATTCACCATATATTTTGGTAAGTATTTACTGTGTTATATTTCTAAGTAATCCTATGTAATGGATTTTTTAAACTAATAAATAATGTAGTTTGAAAAACGCAATTTTTTTATCGGTTCAGTTATCAATTTCAATTTATATCACTATATAATGAAAGTATAGAAAATATTTTTATTATATGAAAATAATTGTATTATAAGTTGAGTGATAGTGTAATATTCGGAGTAAAGAAAACTTTTACGTCTACTATAACTGTGGTCGCTTCATGACCCGTCAACCTTGTCACGCCCGAAATGCAGCAAGTATATAAACGGTATCTGGTATGTGTAATACATCAGTTGCAAATCGAACAAGAAGCAATATGTTCTCCAAAGTAAGAAAATAAAAAATGAAACATTTAATAATAGGCTCGTTACCAGGAAATAATGTAATAATATCTTATTCGCAGATCGTGGCTTTGTGTGCTGTAGTGGCGGTCTCCCAGGCTGGGATTGTACCTGCAGCCGTACATTATTCCCCAGCTGAGGCTGTCTCTTCCCAGAGCATTGTCCGTCACGACCAGCCCCATGCCGTAGCTACTAAACTAGTGGCCGCCCCTGTTGCCAAATTGGCTGTGGCCGCCCCCGTCGCCTATCACGCTGCCCCCGTCGCCTACCACGCCGCCCCCGTCCACTACTCCTCCGCCGACTCTGTTTCTTCTCAGAGCATCGTTCGTCATGACCAGCCCTCCGCCAAGCTCTTAGCCGCAGCTCCCGTTTACCACGCCCCTGCTCCCGTGGCCTACCACGCTCCAGCTCCCGTGGCTTACCATGCTGCCCCAGCTCTCGCAACCTACCATGCCGCTCCCGTCGCTAAAGTAATTGCCCCAGCCACCAAAGTTCTCGTTGCTCATCATGAAGAAGAATACGTAAGTAACAGTAAAAGTTTTTTCCAAACGTAATTACCTATTACCTAAATGAACAGTAAATAATGAGTATACTTTTGAATGCAGGCTCACCCCAAATATGAGTACTCCTACTCTGTAGCTGATGGTCACACTGGTGACAACAAGTCACAGCACGAGAGCCGCGATGGTGACGCCGTGCACGGTGAGTACTCCCTGGTGGAGGCTGACGGCTCCGTGCGCAAGGTGCAATACTCCGCTGATGACCACAATGGATTCAACGCCATAGTTAGTCATTCCGCTCCAGCGCATCATGCTGCCCCTGCTCCCGTCCTCCTCGCCCACCACTAAGTAGACCATGACCCTGTATTAATTTGTTAATAGTCATTAGAATTATTTATTGTAAACAAAATAAAGGCAGGTACTGCTTGGTATTTGTGATTCATTTTAATTGTCGATTTATCCTTTAGTATCCTTTATTTTTCATTTATGATTTAAAGTTTTTAGGGATGCTTTGATAAAAGTTTCACAATTAAGAATAATTTTGTTACTAGATTCTTGCCCTGTAATTCCGTAAATATCCCATCCCGAATTCAAATTCAATAATGTGTTTGAATTCACTTCAAAAAGCGGAATCCGCTCAATTTTGAATTGGTAATAACGTTTCGTGGCATAAGTGAAGTGAGTTTCGAAATGACATAGGAATTGACATCATGTCTTATAACAATTTGGCAAACTTTACTTCTTCGTAACTCTTTAAATCAGTGATTCCCTAAGTGGTCCAGGTAGACCCCCAGGGGTCCACGAGGGATTCAACGGGGGTCTACGTTGGTGTGAAATAAAAATAGGGCGCCAATTTCCATCATTAGATCTTTACATTTTAGACGAATTTAGGGAATATCGTAAACATTTAGTAGCAGGGGGTCCACCGAAGCCAGTATTTTTTTTAAATGGTCTACGAGAATAAATCGTTTGGGAACCTCTGCTTTAAATGGTCAAAACTAGGCCATAATCTTAAAATGCCTAAAAACAGGTTCTCGTCCCTAATCATAGCAACGTTATTTACCATTAAGCATGTAACTAAAGAGGTATTAAGAAAAATTTACGCATCAAAACCAATAACAGGACAAAATCACCCAATAACAGGATAAGTCAATAATTATTATTTATAGATAGATAGATAATTTATTATAGGTGTGAGGAAGTCGATAGAAACAATTGGAAATTCCTATTTTGTTCTTAGTTACAAGTTAATATATATAATAGTTATTTAAAATACGAGTGCGGAAAGTACGGTTTTACGAATAAGGGCCAAATTAAAAACACGAGCGTAGCGAGGGTTTTCATTGGCACGAATTCGAAAAACCTTTTACGCTCAAGTTTCTAACAACATTTTTCAATGCTTTTTGCGAGGAAATAAAACAAATATAAAGGTTAATAAAACTAAGTATGTATTAAAGGTATAAATTATTTGTTAAAATTAAACGTGATATTTGATTTTTTTTTAATTTCTTTGGTGCTCGGCCAGAAAAAAATAAAAAAATACTTTTAAGCACGTGTGCACTAAAGGATTTCAGTACATTTTTATTTAACACGTGTTTAAAGACTCACTTTCCGTGTTTACAATGGATTAAAAAAATAGCGCTTTATGAGCAACTGCATTGGAAAAGAGATTTTTGGCACCAACCTGTTAGAACATTAAGACATTTCTGCTTTGTTAGTGTAATCTTCTTATTATTAATTTTTGATTAATGAAAATTGCTTAAAAAAATCACTATCCCCAGATACCCTGAGGTGGGACTAAGTTCAATGGTTAGAGCAGTGCCCGAATTGCGTAAGGTTGTCAAAGTCAAAATAATCTTTATTCAAATAGACTTCTTAAAAGTACTTTTGAATCGTCCAACATATTTTTTCCCTACCGCTCGTTCAGGACGTCTTTTGGCTGATAAGAAGAACGAGCAAGAAACTCACCAGCTCTAATAGGAGTAATGACATTTACAAAAACCATGTCATTACCAGATCATCATCAGCCCTTTTACGTCCCCACTGCAGGGGCTCAGGCCTTCCTTATGGATGGTTAAGGAGGATGGGCCATGACCCTCCACGCTGGCCCAATGCGGATTGGAGGGTCTCAAGTCCAAGCAGTCTTATCTGTTATATAATCTGATACCTTATAGTAAGCTTTTCTAATAAGTATTATTTTAATAGTAGATTTAAACTGCATGATATCTAATTGTTGTATTTTGCTTGGGACCTTATTGTAGAAGCGCACACAAAGACCCCTGTATGAGTTATTAACTTTTTGTAGTCTAGTGACAGGCACCGTTAATTTATTTTTATTTCTTGTATTAATATTATGTACATCACTTTTTATAGAAAACAAGTGGGTTCAAGTCTCACGTCGGGTTACCTGGTGCTGGTGGATTTTTAAGTTTTTTTCTTTAAATATATTTATCAGTATAGCATTGTGAATGGAGATTAATAAAGTATATATTTTTTTTAATTTATTTGTCAGTAAAGTAGATTATTGAAGTAAACCTTTGTACATTTTACTTTATACAGTAAATGTAAAATTTAAACTTTAAGTGACTTATATTTAATGGCATTTGAATACGTATCCGTATGGATTTCAGGTTTTTATTTGTTTTACTGAATAAATATTTACATAAAAAGGGCGAGAAAGATATATTGTACGTTTTTTGTCGTTGATGTTCATTTTGCTATTGATTCAGAAATATAAGCGCAAATATCAGACCAGAAAATGGTTAACCCCTTTGTTTATCGATGTTAATGATTTTTAATTAATTTATCGAAGAAGTACCTTACATAAAAAGCATAAAAATTGGAGACGCCATTAAATATTACAAATAATATATTCAAAATATTTCAATCAAATTATCAACGAAATGCGATTTTATTGATGACGAATTTTCAAAAATGTTAACCCATACATGTGGGCGTTAATAGTTTGTATTACACTTCAGTTTTTAACTAACATGGATGTTTTTTTGTTTAAATTTTTATTCCAATCGGTATACTTTTTAAACTGCTCATCAAACGAACGAAAATACTACTTGGTCTAATTTGATGACAACGTTTTTGTAAAAACTTATTCAAACATTGTGTCGCCATCTAGTGGCATTTACTTTAATTATTTAGTTTATTTTACTGCCTTATGACCGGATGAGATTAATGTGAACCATAGAGTTACTAAACTTAAAATATCAGAAATAAGGTTTTTTAAAACAATCTTTTATTTGTGAGAAATATACATATTTTTTCGCGCTTCAAGCTTTTTAAGTCAATAACTATTAAAGAAAATGCTGATTACAAGTACTTTTGTCTTGCATAAAATTATTATTTAACTTTTAGTGCGCAAAAAAAAAACTTGTTTACTTAAAATAAATTATATATGTTGTTGTTCTCATAAAGACGGATCTAACGAAAACACGATGCAGTTGCTTCATTTTATCACTACGTTCTTACATACATTTCGGCTTATTCATCGTATCAGATCACTGATACCATAATATTGCATTGTCATCTGATTTACATGTCTATGCAAAATTTCAAATCTATCGGATATTGTGAAGTGAAACACAAAATTATTTCCAAGATTTGCTAACAAACACAAACAAGGCAAGTTAAATAAAAGCTTGTAATGAAAACAAATGTTGTAAGTTTGTAATAAAAAGAAACACGAAATGTTACATCCAAGTAAAGCCGGAGCCCAATTTATAAATAATTATTTGTCAAATTATGATTTGTTTGAAACTAAAATTGACGTAAGCTACTTTCTTTTTAATTAGTTTATCAGAATTATATTACTAATAAAAATATTGAATATCTTACAGATATTTTTTTTAGATAAAATTATGACTAATGTTTTATAATTAAAGGAAAATGAAAATAGCAATTCGACCAATTACTAATTTTTTTTGGTTCATTGAGGTTCTAGGTAAATTTTTCCTGATAATAAGAACTTTATTCAGAGGAAAAATTATTAGAAAACAGAAAAAAAATTACACTTCTTATCGCACAAAAACAAGGTGGTATAAAAGTTTGTTGCATAAACCAAATTATGTTTAAGGAATATTAAAATGAAAGTAAAGTTTTATTTTATGCTTATTTAATAAATATAAGAAACTATTTACATAGTATTGCAGTCCATAAATTAACTTTTTTTTGTCTTAATTGTCTAATGATGAGCGAGGAGAACGGAAGAGGGGGCAGCGTGTTGCGCGGGAGCAGAGTGGCTCACGACCGCGTTGAATCCATTGTGGTCATCAGCGGAGTACTGCACCTTGCGCACGGAGCCATCAGCCTCCACCAGGGAGTACTCGCCATGTACGGCATCACCGTCACGGCTCTCATGTTGCGACTTGTTGTCACCGGAGTGTCCATCAGCCACAGAGTAAGAGTACTCGTATTTGGGGTGCGCCTGCAATGAATAGTGTTTTTTATACCATGTTACATACATTTAGAGAAGACCGAATTGAATCGGATCAAAATAAAAAATCCGGTACAGATTAATGCTCTACATTATTCTCATCAACTAATTAAGGTAAGCTAGCTAGATGCTTATCTCTGAGTATTTTGGAAATGTTCATAACCTCTGGATAAATATTCTAGACATTCTAAGGAAAATTAAAGATTTCAATAACTTGCAAAAAGAAATTACGTTCACTTCTTTAATGTTATGTAGCTAATACATTAAAGTTCACAAACTGGCCAGGAACAAAATTTAAACGAGATTTCATACATTAATCTTTTTGTTAGCTAAAGGGATACACTAAAATCAATCAATAACATAGAGAGTTTGCCTACTATTATAACTTTGTGATGTCAGACTTGATTTGTCTCGTTCGATTACGGAGGTTGCAATCTAATATACAGGTTTATCAACTTTGTACTTTCATAATAGTCACTTACGAATTCTTCTTGTTGCGCCACGAGGACCTTAGCCGCGGGGGCGATCACTTTAGCGACTGGGGCAGCGTGGTAAGCCACGGCAGCGGGAGCAGCGTGGTATGCAGCTGGGGCAGCGTGATACGTAACGGGAGCTGGGGCAGCATGGTAGGTAACGGCAGCTGGGGCGGCGTGGTAGGCAACGGGAGCGGGGGCAGCGTGGTAGGCAACTGGGGCAGCAGCTACGAGTTTAGAGGGTTGATCATGACGGACGATGCTTTGTGACGACACAGCCTCAGCTGGCGAGTAATGGACATCAGAAGGCAAAATGCCAGCCTGAGACACGGCTACTACAGCGCACAAAGCGAAGATCTGCAAAGAAGTTTAAAACATATTATCATAACTGAATTACAACGGCTTATAATAAAATGATCGATTATATTATTCTTACTTTGGTGAACATGTTTGTGTATCTCTGATTCACAACTGATGCATTGAATGGAGTAAGGACCGCTTTTATACTTACTAGTAGACTCGTTTTGGTTTTGACAAGGTCGACGAGGTATTGAGCTTTGAAACTATTACATATGCACTGCACTTTCTTTTAATAGCTTAGGAATAGACCAAATTTTATTTAAATATTTTTCTTGGTCATTTGTCGAGTCATCTGCGTAACTCCTACTATTCTATAGATTTATATTTTGCAAAAGCTTTTGCCCTCTACTTCATATGCGCGGTATTAATATTTACAGTCATTTTTTAACTAACTTAAAAAAATAGAAGTAGTTTTTTAATTTCACAATTTTCTTGTCTTTTTGCACTTATTTTGTTTAAAAGAGTATTCTCGAAATTTTCACATTAAAACATTGATAAAATTATATCAGTTATTTTGTTTTAATATAAAAAAGAAACTGGGAGGAACTAATAGCCTTAGTTCCTCCCAGTTTCATTATCTTGACGTGCTAGTTGTCACATAGAATCTTTAAAATAAAAACTTTTATTCTCACAAATAAACATACCTGAAAATTGTTTAATAATTCTTATTATGACAAAATCAAACTACATTTGAAGTCGGACGTGTAAAAACTTAGCCACCAAATCTTCGCTCGAATCAAAATTGAATTTTTTAAGAATAAGAATTATTATTGGATTCTTTTGAAGTATTTTTCCACAAGTTGTCGTTGAGTTTACATTATTTTTAAAATGATATAAAAACTTATTTTGATGTTTAAGAAAAGTAGAATTTAAGTGAATAAATTACTTATTCCCCATACAAACTTCTACCCATCTTTTCATTTCTTTAGAGCATATCTATTTTATATCTTGTTTAGTGTATCATACTTTTTCATACCAAATTTCATCTAAATGGTTTCAGACAGAGTTTCGCATTTATATTATAAGTAAGCATAGTTAATTAAGAAAAGTTCCACTTCTCTGGTAAAACTGGTAAAGTTACAAAAATATCAAAACTCACGGTAAACTAACCTTACAAGCTTGATGCCAAAGTGAAGGTTTGTTCCTGGAATTTATTATTTCAAACAGTATTTCGAGAGGGTGGTTTTTCTGGTAGACAGCATAAAATTTTCTTTTAAGCCCTGTACCCTTATTCATCTACAATTTCTAACAGTTAAGTGGAAGTTAAATTACTGCAAAGTATATTAAATGTAACTAAGCTTTCTTAAGTAGAAAGTCTATACAAAAAATATGAATAGTAGGCAGTATACTGCATCCTCTATCCTGCTGATATAAGTTACTTTATCGATGGAATTGTAACAGTATGATTTATCGAAGATATTTTGTAATGAGATTCGTTTTAGTGGTCCATACCCAAAGGGTAAATAACTTAATCCTATTACTTAGACTCCGCCGTCTGTCCCTCCGTCTGTTTGTCCATATGTCACCAGGCTGTATTTCATGGACCGTGATAGATAGTTGAAAGTTTCACATATGATGTATTTGTGCTGACACTATAATAGTAAATACTAAAAAACAATAAAATAAATATATAAGGGAATTTCCATTCAGTCAATGTGATTTTTCGCTTCCGGTTTGGTTTATTTGATAATGTCGTTTTTTAGGGAACTTCAATAGGATTCAATACCACCTATTCAAATAAACGTCTAAAGATGAAAAAAAATATTTAAATACACTTTTCCGTTTTTTTTTCATTTTTATGGAAAATCCTTAGCACTTAACCACATATAGTATATTCCGTCGCGGACTCTTTTATGGATAATTTAAAACTCTCTAATTTTTCCTTAGAAAGCATTTTTATTTAACCATTTAAGCAGCGTTCACAAAAGTGGGTGCCCTTGTTAGTTTTTCTATCCTCAGGAAACCTTTTAGTGGGATAAAAAGCAGCCTATATGTTAATCCAGACTAAGAATTCACTATATACCAAATTTTATCAGAATTCGTTCTGTAGTTTTTGCGTGAAGAAGTGACAAACATCAAAAAATCCCAAACTACAAATTTTTCACTTTCTAATAATAAGTAGGATATATTATGATGCTTGTGTTCTTGTAATTCTTAACTCTTGCAAATATGTTGACGAAGTCGTAGGTAAAAGCGATTATCTATACTAACATTATAGAGGGAATATTTCATTAAAGAATTTTTAAAATTAGTCCAGACTGATTTTAAAAAATATTTCTAAAAACTACCTCATACGCGGGGGATATAGGTTATAATTTGAGCGAAGTCGCGGGAAAACAAAGAAAGGAAGTGTCGATAATCCTTTGTGGATATTTTTTTAATAGGTCAGTTTATGTATGCGAGAGTGGCATCTTTATTTATTTATCAAATTTGTTTCTTTAGACATTGGCATTTCATAAGTGCTATATTTTTTGGGCTTTTAATGATGTAACACGTTTTTATTATTATTTTTTTAATAAATTAATTGTTTTTACTGTGAAGGTACCAGGTTACATAGCATATACAACGTTTTATTACATAGGTACAAAGTAAATTTCAAAAACTTTTGTTGTTAGTTGAACCAAACGTATTATTTTAGTTCTTGTTTTATTTTTTAAACGATAAGATTGTTGGCATAGCGTGTTGTGATCAGAGGATCGTACTTTTTGGATATTAATATAACTAATATTTATAATACTATAAAGGATTGTATAATTATGAATAAAACATTATTTGCTACCTGTAGGTGGGCGCTAATGGTTGCACTTCAGTTTTCTTTTTTAAACTACCGCGACTATTATCGTTCACTATAATTTTGTTAAACTATTTGTTTCAATAAATACATTTTTTTAAATATTTTATAATTTTAAACGAAGATAATATATTATAGTTTTTAAAGTCCTATAGGCACTACTTAAAAAGGAAGAATTCAAGTGATATGAAAATTTTGAAATAAAAAAATGATAAATAATTAGAGCAAGGACACTCGGCCGTTGCCGTGGTTTGCATCACTTGATCATACATTAAATGTCATACGGTCAATGCTCGTCGCTCTGTGTTTGTCATCTCATAATACACCGCAACCTAAAAGTCATGTTTTATCTTAAGACGGCACTAGTCTCAAAGAATCATGTTTTATTTAGATCAATTTTGTCCAATTTACTAACCTGTCTAATTATGTGATATATCTCAAAATACAGCTTGCAGCATTTTTTACTTAAATCGTGTAATTAATTCTTAAAATAAAGTCAGGATAAAAATTTCGACGCTGATAAATATTTTCAAAAAGTTACCCTAGGCGATTCGGACCGTAGAATGAGGGTTTGATACGCTTCGTTTCATCTACATACAACGGAAAAATATTCTTTCGTCATAAGGTGAAAAAGTGCAAATTAACAGTAACACATTAATTTCCACATTTACGAGTCAAATTAGAAAAAGCTTTTATTTTAATGCTTTAATTTTTAAAGTAGCTTCATAATTTTTTCGAGTTTTGGCAGCTGATATAAACTCCAGATGAAAAGATATATAGATATTTAAATTATAATCATTAGGAATAAATTAAATAGAAAACTAATATAAATTATCCCTAATGGTAGGTAGACACGATCTTTAAAAAACATGTGACAGGTCAATCAATGTATGGAAGGACATGATTCTTTGATGATTATAATATAATAATCAATCCCTACCCCGACCGGTACTTTATTATTATAATATAATCGGTTGTTGACCTCCGGGTTCAGTATGATGTACAGTATATTAACAAACTTTCTGTGGATATCTTTTTCATTTTTTTATCTCCAGCGTCTGGTTCTCATATTTACAGACAGAGAGTGCCATAATTATATAAGATTAGACATTTATATTATACATATGAATAGTTGACACGGTAAATGTTGTTTTGTCATATAAATTTACCACTACCACCCTTACTTGTCGCTTAGGGGTATAAAATATAGATGACAACCTATTCTGTATTACATATTAAATTTCTACAAAATCAGTCAACCGTGGGAGAGCCACGCTTCGGCATGAATGGGCCGGCTCGACCGGAGTACCAGACCGGATACCACGGCCTCACAGAAAACCGACGTGTAGCAACGCTTGCGTTGTGTTTCGTCGTGTGAGTGAGGGTACCGGAGGCCCAACCCCTCCCTATTCCCTTCCCTCTACCCCTCAACCCTTCCCTCCCTATGATCATATTCGTCCCTCAAAGGCCGGCAGCGCGCTTGTAGCCCCTCTGTTGTTGCAGGTGTCCATGGGCGACGGTAATCACTTACAATCAGGTGATACGTCTGCTCGTTTGCCCCCTATCCCATAAAAAAAAATGTATGAGTATGTAACTAAAATTATGACACAAGAATTATATATATTACATAAATTAATAAAATTGAAAGCGTGAGATATATCATTATCAAAATGCGGATTATTTCAATTTTATACACAATAAACAGACTGACAAAACCGACAGCGTAAATTGTGACGCACATTGACCGTTTGGCATTTAATGTATTAAAAGAGGTAAGATGACGCGTCGTAAAATTGCCGCTGGCAGTGGCCTCGTGGCCTTGCTCCAATAAAATTTCTTTTTTATTTTATTGATCGATTGATTATTTATTTTGTATAAAATAACGACGAGAAGTATGTGTAGTATCAAATAAATGTTTATAACATCTTTTTGTCTTGATTATGCCGTCTCGCTTGAAACTTTTCTTTACGTTATTGAGAGATCTACTTATGCTCACTTGTACGTAATTTGACATTAAATATATTTTTATAAATAAAGATAAGTAAGCTTAATATTTATCACATTCGGTATTTTCATCGTCTAATACTCATCTTATCTTCGAATTAATTTAAGAACCTATAAAAATCTTTTTGCTTCTTTCGAAAAGTGACAAGTTTGGAGACTAGCAATTTAATCAATTTTTTTTAATCAGTTTATTTATTTACCTTGGTTTTAGAGTGAATATAATAATTGGAGCATCACGGTTATTTTAAACATTTAATTTGGTGTTTTTAAATGTTTCCCACTTTTCACTTTTATTTCCAAAGTAGCTTAATAAGATTAAATTAATAGAGATTCTATATTTTTAAACATCAAAATGTGGTACATGGAATTCCGTAGGGACTTAATAAAACGAGATGTATCAAATATTTTTTCATTAAAACAAAAAAATAAACAAACTATGTACACATATTACACTTAATAACTAATTGTTGTTACAATTTATTCCTATTTTTTAGAAATTGAACTATGATAGACGTTCAGTGATGGCCAAGGAGCACAGGAGCAGGGGCACCATGATGCGCGGGAGCGGAATGGCTGACGATGGCGTTGAAGCCATTGTGGTCATCAGCGGAATACTGCACCTTACGCACGGAGCCATCAGCCTCCACTAGGGAGTACTCACCCTGCACGGCGTCACCGTCGCGGCTCTCGTGCTGCGACTTATTGTCACCGGTATGTCCATCAGCAACAGAGTAGGAGTACTCGTATTTAGGATGTGCCTGTAATGAAATTCATGTTAAGTTCCTATCTTAATTATCCTGTTTAAAAAATATCTTATTCTATTCGTTTTGGTTAACAATGAGTTACTTATGCGGAGGAATCTTGCACGAGTAGCGAAGATTTAAAATAATTGTGACGTAATCCAAACGTACTAAGTAGAATGAAATTTTAAGTTCTTAGTAATATGAAGGCCCGTGACAAGTCGCATGTTAGAACAAAGGTTTCGAGCAAATTATTAGACAGTACATCATTATTTCTTTAATGTGTTTTAGAAAAACTTATGTTGTTTATTATTGCATAAGGCTTGGGCAAGTATAAGGTCATTAAATGTAAATATTAAGTTACATATAAATAAAGAAACGAGGATACTCTCTTTTTACTTACATATTCTTCTTCTTGGTGAGAGACGAGTACTTTAGAAGCAGGAGAAATTACTTTGGTGATTGGAGCTGAATGGTACGTTACAGGAGCGGGAGCAGCGTGATAGGTAATCGGGGCAGGGGCAGCTTGATATGCCACAGGAGCGGGTGCAGCGTGATAAGCCACAGGAGCGGGGGCAGCGTGGTAGGTGACGGGAGCTGGAGCAGCTTGATAGACTGGTCCGGCAGCTAAGAGTTTGGCTGGTTCATGATGAAAGATACTTTGGGATGATAAATCGTTAGCAACAGAGTAGTGAATGGGCGCAGCGGTCAGCTTAGTAGCAATAGCTTGAGTCTGGTCATGGCGCACAATGCTCTGGGAAGAAACTTCAGCCGCTGAAGAATAGTGTGGCTCAGGCAGAATCCCAGCTGTAGCAACAGCCAGTACAGCGCTTACAGCAATAATCTGTAACCAAATACAAAATAATAACAAATTCATTGGAAAAAAAACAAACTGACACAGGAATCAGAGTTACCTACGTATTTGTCAATAATTGTTTTATAACGAATACTTACTTTGGACAACATAGTGTTAATGTATCGACAGAAGTGATGCATCAGTTATGTTATAAGAGCTTTTATAGCAAGCAAAGGTTTGGGCGTGGCAAGGTCGACTGCTTAAATGTCAGTTAATGGGCTAAGTTCCTGTCGCTGAGGAAAGTTTACCAAATTTATTTTTAAAATTATTAGGTAAAATTAGGTTAAGTAATTTCGTATATTGAGTAAGAATTAATTCCATTGAAAGCCGATTATTACGGTTTAGACATCGAATTGAAATAGATATAGATGTTAAAAGATATCATTAATGATGAAGTTATAAGTAATGTTTTATTAGTTAGAATATAAAATGTGGCTAATATGTAATTAATTCCTGTTAAATAAACAGGCATCTCTTAAAATTATTATTTATTTCTAAGGTATTATCCATTAAAAATCAAATCGAATACCTTCACGCGGGCCCAGTTCGGATTGGTGGGTCTTAATTAATGCAGATGCGGCCGGGTCCAAATGCTGTACGTGCTTTCGAAGCACGGAGGAGCTCGAGATAATAAAGTTTTGATCACCCATCATATAATCAGTCATTGCAAAAGTTGCTTAATAATCATATCGCAGGCAGGACGCTATTGCGCCATCGATTTTCTATAGAATAATTCTCATAATTAATATTTGTCTTACAAAAATAGTTGACAAAAGTAGTTTAATAATTGAATAGTATGATTGAAATACACTTTATATGATTTCATTTGATGCAATTATTGTATGTCGTAAATAGAAAATAAAAGGTTATGATTCAATGCAGCGTCCTTAAGCCGCTTTTTGACACTTAAAAATTCCAGACATTAATTTGACTTATATTTCTCATAGCTATATATAACTGTAATTAAATACCACCAATTAATCTTTACTTATTTACTTAAGCTTAAGTTTTTCCAAACTAGTTCAATCTAACCTGCTTATATAAAACGAGGACTAACTTTTAGTACCAGGTTCAAACCAATAGGCGACCACACTATGTCAACATGTCTCAATGTGCGTTTTTGAAAATATTTTTCTTACGCTTTTTATTTAAGTATTTTTAAATTACCTATTTTTAAGCTTAATTTTATTAATTATAGCGTCACGAGTCGTCATCGACTCATTTCCTACGGAAACACACAGACTTTAACAGCATTTTATTGAATAAGTCGCTTTTGAGATAAGTATTGTCTTTTACTCTAATCGTGAGTGTGCTAGACAGATTTGGTTAATATTAATTAAGTAATAATAATTTTACAACTAACGGATGTGATAAAGAACTCATACAATCAACGCATACAAATTTTTAAACACATTTATTAATAAAAATCTTATATTTATAAACATAACAAGAACAATATCACATTTTTACGAGTCAGAAGCACCTACAACATTAGATTAGAATCGTCAATGGTGACTTTTTTCAGGAACGATGTGCTTTGCATGACCTTCGCGTTTCACTACGGCGTTGAATCTGTAATAATTTAAATATATATCTTTAAAAAAGTACAATAAAGACAGGAAAATATGTTGGAAGGTAGTTAAAAGAGTCAAGGCTTGTTTTCAATTTACTAGTAATTATAATTTTATATAAAATATAGAATAAGCAACCTCTCACTCGCATCCGCAATTCGACAGTTGTACGAGTTATATATATTTTTTGGTATATGATTTTATAGGATTTATTTGAGTGCGTATATATTATACGCATTTGATTTATCATGGTATTTTTCTATAACGTAGTGATAAATTTGTTACAGTTTAATAAATTTTAATGACCTCTGTGATCAACAAGTTCGTGAGGAGACGTTTTGTTTTCATGAGAACAATTGATTAGAGCATCGGATAGGCGTCAAATTAGATTTTCTATAAATAGATGACATGAGATCAAGTTATTTTGAGACTCGTCTTTATATTGGTACCAAATATTTGATTATGTCGAGCTCTACGTCCTGCGTATCATTTACGCAGGGAAGAAGACAATGTGTATTTATGGAAACAATTAACATGACACGATTCAGACATGATCGAAGATTACATCATAATCCTTATTCAAGGATCATTAATTTATCTACTTTCAATTTTATCAATACTTAATAATAGTTATTTACCCGTTGTGTTTGTCGGCTGTGTACTCGACGATGCGCACTGTACCGTCAGCCTCATGCAGCGAGTAGAATCCTTTAACGACATCACCGTCGCGGGTCTCGTGCTGGGTCTTGTAGTCACCAGTGTGGGGGTCCTTAATGGAGTACTCATATGCATACTTTGGATACGCCTGTAATATAATGTCACATTATTAATAGAAAATTGAAACATTTAAAAATATCTAAGATGGCTCAAATCATTCTATTTATATTTCATCCAGTACATAAAAATTTTTAGGTACGTTTTTAGCATATTTTATTCAACAACGGGTTATTACATACTTTTCTCTACAATGAATGCGATCAAAATTTATTTTCAAGTACTACTTACACTTAACTTGCTCATTAAATACTTAACTATTGAATAAAAATCTAAATATCTGTACTTTTGTTACTTTTGAACATGGTGACATTGTAACACTGGAAAATTTGATGTTGTTTTATTTTAACTTTCACAACATTTTATTACTCTTGTCTAGTAATGTTCAAGTATATTGTGATTTCTAAACATTGTTTTTAGGATGTCAACTTACCATATTTTTCTGGTAAAGCCATTAGGGCATAAAAATTGTTTTCACTAATCTAATTTCATTATTCCTTAACCGGTGACAATCTTCCACTCGTATGTACCAATCTATCAACCACCAAGATACAAAATAGAACCATTAGTTTGTCTTAAAATTATAACTTTTAACTATTTTCTCATTTGCTTCCATTAGAAATAACCTTATTAATTCTACAAAATAAAATTGAACCTATTGTTTACAAAACACCAAAGCATTTATTTTGACACTTGGTGTACGTTCCGAAAGCCGTAATTAACCTTAGAACTTACTTTCACATATTTATATTTTCTTCCAAATTAAATTTCTTTTCCCTATTTTTAATAACAAATAAGTAGTATTTGACCTTCTTTATAGAATATAATCAATTCGTTAAAATTACAATAAATAGCTGTTTCGAAAACTCATTTTTATAACAAAATTATTAAATCAGACTTCAGGTTTTAGAACGTTGAATTAAGAAAATAAAGCAATAGTGTGAAGTTGTCACCTAGTTATATTCCTTTGTATGCAGGGTTTTGTCAGTTTTTTCATGCATATTTGCATGTGTCCTATAATTTTATTTTCAATTCAATAAAACATAAATATTTTATTTATGTATTATTCCTATTAAATTTTTAAAGGTCAAAATTTGTAGCCATTGTGTGTTGTCCGTGAAACGGAGTTGCTTCATTTAACAGCTGTTCAGGTCGCTTGAGTCGAATGGAAATGGAAATCGTATTTAAGTCGGAACCCGGCTTTGTCTTTCCTTTTATTCTGCTGATCATCTAAGAGTGAAGAGAAGTCTACAAGTCTACCGTGTCTCGGCTCGTTTTGTTGAATACGTGGGGTAAGTTTCCTATTGTCTTATTCTCGAACTTTTTGTAATCCTTGTTTTGACATTGAATTCTTTGAACAAGTAAAACGTCTTTTCCTTGTTTTCTTGAAGAAGGACCCCCACGAGTTGTTACCTTGATAGGCTTGTGATCTAAGACTTTCCTATGGTTCCACAGCTTCCATTCGTGGTGATTTCGAAGCAGGGAAGGCCGAGCAGTGCTGCGAATTTGTGGGCGCCGGTCGCATAAGTGTTTTTTACAATTTTTCGCCTCTCAAACCGTGAGTACCATTTTCGTGCATTAACGTGTAGAATCTTTATTTTCTTGATTATCATATTGAACAGATAATTCTTTCCCTTAGATTGAATCGTGGCATTTTTGGTTAATAGTAAAGTGTTTGAACTACCCCTATATATTTTTCTTAGTCACCCTCATAAATAATTAAAACTTTTCATGAGTTGTTAGAGTCTGTATCTTATCAGTTCTAATGAAATAAAGTAAAACAATTGAATTACTGGTAAATTTGAAAGTGAATAAATGTCCGCTGTCTGCGACGGACTGAATATTATATAGTAGATATACAGCACTCTTTTGTCCGATACAGGAGAGGCTGTCTGGTACGGGCTATATTATACGAGCTGTCTGGTACTGGCTGTATTGTACTGGTTGTCTGGTACTGGCTGTATTATCCTGACTGTCTGGTACTGGCTGTATTGTACTGGCTGCCTGGTGCGAGTTGTCCGATACAGGTTGACGGTACCACCAGTAACCGTATGTAAAGGCTATATCGCTCCATGTGGATGGGTATCTGTGGTTTGACCCACCTACATTAACTGAGCTGAATAAAAAGGAGCACCTGATTGTTTTGTTGTTGAGGTGGAAGAAATTGTATTAAAGTTATTTAAACAAAAGACAAGCTGAACATTGAGCTGTGCCCAACTATTTTTGTGTTTAGTAACATTAAGTTTAATAAATGTTATTTTCTGTCTACGACTTATAACGCTGGACAGTGAGACCGTAGGACAACAGACAGCCCCCGGTTTGTTGTGTTGCCGTACTCCTTCTGAGTACGGCAGCGAAGCCAAGGTCAAACAAATAAATACCTTTTTTTACTTAAAGGGGGTAATTAGTGATTTGTAATTAGTGATTTGTAATTAGTGATTTGTAATTGGTGATTTGTAATTGGGGATTTGTAATTGGTAATTTGTACTTAGTAGTTTGGAATTAATCATTTGTAATTTGTATAAAAATTATAATTGAATTTTAAAAATTGTTATTTCACTTCATTCAAAAATAAATTGTACACCATTTATATTTTTTAATTTCTTTTCTCAAACCAAAATTATAGGAGAAATCCGTTACAATTATGGCGCCCGAACAGGGACAGTGCTTAATGTGGCTTATTCCTCTGACCTGTGGTCTTTTGCTCGCGGTCGGGTCAGCTTGTCTTACCAATTTTTTGTTCAGAGATAATAACTATAAGTGTGTTTTATATTTTTATTTCTATGACTGTCTGTATTAATTTGTGTATATGCTTTACTTTATTAAGGTATATAAATAAATAACTATTTTTTGTAGCGGTTATATTTAACTGTGACATAGTTGATTTTGTGTGGGTACCTTAATTATAAGTGCGTTTATAGATAAATTGTATTCAACTGAAGTGTATAAAGTGGAATGATACCATGGCCCAACTACAGGAGCGTCCCATTAAATTCAATCTCTTGAGTAAAGATGAGTTAGTTTATGAAGTACAAATTAGGGATGGAGTACCAGCCAAGACTATAGACGAACTTCGTGTTCAGGTCAATGATCTGAATGTCATTATGCCCACTGACGAGATCGCGTGTTTTGACGGAGATATTCGCCTTGAATTAATTATAATACAAAATAAGTTTAGAGACTTGGAAACGTCACGTGCTCGGCAGCCTCTTTTGTTGAATCAGTTGGATAGAATAGAAGCACTGGGTAATCATCTTTTTCATAGGATTACCCGATTGGAGCCTGAGAATGCGGAGGATTGTTGGCTTTTGAGAAATCTACAGCGAAGTTTGTTTGCCTTCCTATTTAGTATGGATAGGGTAGCTTATAATATCCGCAGTGGTGCCAAAGTTCAGTCCGCTGAAGAGGATTACGAAGTTTTCGGCAGTGCCGAGGCGGCGTCCAAGTCGGTCACACAGCCAAAGGTTAATTTAGTGCCCTGCGATGTAGGTTCCCATGAGCACGAGAAAAGTCCTGCGTTGTTGGAAGGATCTGGTGTTCCTGCAGTGTTGGATGAGTGTGGTGTACAGGTGGTTTTGGTAGGATCGGAGGAATGGGTTTCGTCGGTGCATGATACTACCCAGGTTGCGGATAGTGACCCACCAGTCCTCGGTCACGAGGTAGAGACAGTGTCCAATAGCTCAATTGGCCCTCGAGTGCATCCTCCCACAACTTCTCCTCAAGTGAATACGATGGAACGGTGTGACCGAGCCCTCGTCGCGGTTCGTGCTGCACTTGTAGGAGGAAGGCTTCGATTTCGTAGAAGAGCTACTAAAATTTCTTCTTCTCAACGGGTTTGTCGGGGAGTTGTTTTAAATAATTTTGCAAGGTCTGGTGGTAAGAGAAAGGGCCTCTATACTTTTAGGGTTGTTCCTCGTGATTTCTGTAGTGGTGTGCTCAGTCATTTGAAGCCTTTTAAAATAGGTGCAGTTCTGAGAAAGGTTCCTTCACGAGTTGCGATGTATTATATTCGTCGACGTCGCAAGGCCGATATTCAAGACGCAGATGAGATTAGGAGGCGGAGCCGCGTTAAGAGGTTGGGTTCCCGTTCTTCCATACGGCGACCTTTGGCAGTCTGATTCGGTGGTTGTGTTGTCGTACTTCATTTCCAAGTACGTCACCACACCCAAATTTTGATTTACATTGAGGTTAGGATAGTGTTTAAATGAATATTATACTGAGTTGTCGTACTCTCTCTCGAGTACGTCAGCTACTTATGTTGTGTTGGAATGTTTGTGTGTAAAGGTATCTATTATACAAAGTTGTCGTACTCTTTCTCGAGTAGGACAGCTACTTATGTTGTGTTGGAGGGATGTTTATACTTATCGGAGGAGGATAAGTTTTGTTGAAGTCTGTGGTAAAGTTTTGAAGATTGTGGTTAATATTTTTGTCACTTAGATGTACAGTGATTTTTTTATAATGTATGTAGTTCTCTGTGTTGATTGAAATACAGTTGTTTACCCCGGACCACGGGTAGGCCGTGTATTTTATGTCCTGGGAGCTGGCTTTGTCTGGATTTGTGGTCTACTGGAGATAATGGTATTTTCTTTTTTTTGTTTCAATACTTTGTTGGATCCGTTCCCCCGGTTTCCGTTGCAAACTGTTCGGGATCGGTCATGGTGTCCCTGTCGACGGATAGAGTGGTTTTATTTTTTTGGGTTATGCAGTTTGTAGGTGTGGTGATTGCTCGCTGTAAGTGATTTGAGTAGTTATGATTAGGTTAATTTGTGGGTATTTTACTTATGATGGATTAAATTATAAGAATCCCCATTTAGTTTAGATGTTTTATATGGTTGTTTTTATACAGATATTAAATTACCATATTAATTTTCTTTCACCATTTTAGTGTGGATTATTTTTTTTGGATGTTGTTTGAGAGAGCTGGAGGGCCAGCTCGAATTTGACTTGTTCCTACGTCAAATTCTTCACCGGAGAGGGGAGTACTGTAACACTGGAAAATTTGATGTTGTTTTATTTTAACTTTCACAACATTTTATTACTCTTGTCTAGTAATGTTCAAGTATATTGTGATTTCTAAACATTGTTTTTAGGATGTCAACTTACCATATTTTTCTGGTAAAGCCATTAGGGCATAAAAATTGTTTTCACTAATCTAATTTCATTATTCCTTAACCGGTGACAATCTTCCACTCGTATGTACCAATCTATCAACCACCAAGATACAAAATAGAACCATTAGTTTGTCTTAAAATTATAACTTTTAACTATTTTCTCATTTGCTTCCATTAGAAATAACCTTATTAATTCTACAAAATAAAATTGAACCTATTGTTTACAAAACACCAAAGCATTTATTTTGACACTTGGTGTACGTTCCGAAAGCCGTAATTAACCTTAGAACTTACTTTCACATATTTATATTTTCTTCCAAATTAAATTTCTTTTCCCTATTTTTAATAACAAATAAGTAGTATTTGACCTTCTTTATAGAATATAATCAATTCGTTAAAATTACAATAAATAGCTGTTTCGAAAACTCATTTTTATAACAAAATTATTAAATCAGACTTCAGGTTTTAGAACGTTGAATTAAGAAAATAAAGCAATAGTGTGAAGTTGTCACCTAGTTATATTCCTTTGTATGCAGGGTTTTGTCAGTTTTTTCATGCATATTTGCATGTGTCCTATAATTTTATTTTCAATTCAATAAAACATAAATATTTTATTTATGTATTATTCCTATTAAATTTTTAAAGGTCAAAATTTGTAGCCATTGTGTGTTGTCCGTGAAACGGAGTTGCTTCATTTAACAGCTGTTCAGGTCGCTTGAGTCGAATGGAAATGGAAATCGTATTTAAGTCGGAACCCGGCTTTGTCTTTCCTTTTATTCTGCTGATCATCTAAGAGTGAAGAGAAGTCTACAAGTCTACCGTGTCTCGGCTCGTTTTGTTGAATACGTGGGGTAAGTTTCCTATTGTCTTATTCTCGAACTTTTTGTAATCCTTGTTTTGACATTGAATTCTTTGAACAAGTAAAACGTCTTTTCCTTGTTTTCTTGAAGAAGGACCCCCACGAGTTGTTACCTTGATAGGCTTGTGATCTAAGACTTTCCTATGGTTCCACAGCTTCCATTCGTGGTGATTTCGAAGCAGGGAAGGCCGAGCAGTGCTGCGAATTTGTGGGCGCCGGTCGCATAAGTGTTTTTTACAATTTTTCGCCTCTCAAACCGTGAGTACCATTTTCGTGCATTAACGTGTAGAATCTTTATTTTCTTGATTATCATATTGAACAGATAATTCTTTCCCTTAGATTGAATCGTGGCATTTTTGGTTAATAGTAAAGTGTTTGAACTACCCCTATATATTTTTCTTAGTCACCCTCATAAATAATTAAAACTTTTCATGAGTTGTTAGAGTCTGTATCTTATCAGTTCTAATGAAATAAAGTAAAACAATTGAATTACTGGTAAATTTGAAAGTGAATAAATGTCCGCTGTCTGCGACGGACTGAATATTATATAGTAGATATACAGCACTCTTTTGTCCGATACAGGAGAGGCTGTCTGGTACGGGCTATATTATACGAGCTGTCTGGTACTGGCTGTATTGTACTGGTTGTCTGGTACTGGCTGTATTATCCTGACTGTCTGGTACTGGCTGTATTGTACTGGCTGCCTGGTGCGAGTTGTCCGATACAGGTTGACGGTACCACCAGTAACCGTATGTAAAGGCTATATCGCTCCATGTGGATGGGTATCTGTGGTTTGACCCACCTACATTAACTGAGCTGAATAAAAAGGAGCACCTGATTGTTTTGTTGTTGAGGTGGAAGAAATTGTATTAAAGTTATTTAAACAAAAGACAAGCTGAACATTGAGCTGTGCCCAACTATTTTTGTGTTTAGTAACATTAAGTTTAATAAATGTTATTTTCTGTCTACGACTTATAACGCTGGACAGTGAGACCGTAGGACAACAGACAGCCCCCGGTTTGTTGTGTTGCCGTACTCCTTCTGAGTACGGCAGCGAAGCCAAGGTCAAACAAATAAATACCTTTTTTTACTTAAAGGGGGTAATTAGTGATTTGTAATTAGTGATTTGTAATTAGTGATTTGTAATTGGTGATTTGTAATTGGGGATTTGTAATTGGTAATTTGTACTTAGTAGTTTGGAATTAATCATTTGTAATTTGTATAAAAATTATAATTGAATTTTAAAAATTGTTATTTCACTTCATTTAAAAATAAATTGTACACCATTTATATTTTTTAATTTCTTTTCTCAAACCAAAATTATAGGAGAAATCCGTTACAACATTTCTAAAAATATTCAAACATACTCAATTCATAAAATTAGCATTCATCATCATCATCATCAATCCTTTTGCGTGCAGGGGCTCAGCCCTTTCTTATGGATGGTTAAGGAGGATGGGCCATGACCTTCCTCGTTGTCCCAATGCAGATTGGAGGGTATTAACGACTACAATTGCAGTCGGGACCAACGGCCTTGCCTTGCCGTGCCTTCCGAAGCACGGAGTAGCTCGATATAATAATTTTTTTGGTCACTCATCCCGTGACCGTTGTTTAACGACAACGATCGCGGACCGCGGCGCTTATCGACTACGCTACCGAGCTAAAATTACCATTGAACATTTTTTTTCACTAGATCTAGTGATTAAAGCGCTAAAATTATCAACGCGCCAAAAACATCACACTACATAGCTTACATAGTAATCTTCGTGGTGTTCCTCATGTCCATGTTGGATCTGCTGTTGCTGCTGCTCGTGACCACTTTGGTGAAGCACAAGAGACTGGGATGAAATGCCTTGTGAGTGGTAATCACCATGTTGTGGTCGTGCAGCAGCTAACGCGATGACAGCAGTCATAAAAACAACCTGTCAATTAATAAATTATAGGTATATATAAAAATTTATGATTGTTAGAATCACGGAAGTGGGTAAATATATGCATAGCTAGAATTTTCGAAAATTTAAGAAATAATTTTTGAAAATGTTGTTTTGCAGCAGCTAACGCGATGACAGCAGTCATAAATACAATCTTTCAATTAATAATTTGTACAAATAAAATTTATAGGATAAGCGCATTACTTTAGCTGGAGAGTTAGATTTTGATATTATTATTAAAAAGAATTTATGGGAAAGAAATGTTTATTTATCTTTGAACTGGTGAAGCAATTATTGTATATATAACAAAAGCTGTAATGGTTTATCTGGAAACAATTAAAAGAAAATGATAAAGCAAACGGGATATTTGTAGCTCTTAATAAACTGTTTTTGACTATATTTTATAAAATATCTAAGATTATTTTAAGTAGAATGAAGTATTGTTTTCTTAGGAAGCACCAGAAATGAAATCGTAGCTAATTTCTAATATAAAATAATTATAGAGTCAAAATAATTTAAAATTTAATTATTATGCTACCCATATTTAATAAATTAGATTTCAATAGTAAGTAACGAGTACCTTTGAGATCATTTTGTTTTATATTCACGGAGAATGTTAAATTAATATAATAAGTAATTATCTGTTACACAGTTGGAAGTTGTTTGATAAAATTCCTATTTTAAAATCAGCTTTTATACTTTCAGTAGAGACGTTTACGCAATGCGGTAACTCGATTATCAGTTTTAAGTGCTTTACTTATACAACCCAATATAAAAGTATAAGTTTATTTCACTATAACTTTTAGGTGTTGCCAAAACAAAATGGTCTGTCTTTTATAAAATTAAAATCTATTCATATAATGCAATAAAATGTAACTTCCTCATTATTGAAAGTAAGTGAAATTTTATAAATATGAAAACCCCAAAAATCGAAATATAATTTCAAGATCTTTAAAACTGTTTTCGAGAATCAAGTAAGTAATACTTAAAAATATGTTTCTAAATATCTCTATTTATCTAGAATCAGAATGTGGTCAGGTCAAAAACTATTAAATCATAATTTATTTTTAATGCATATCGTTGCATATATTTTATGTATTTGTTACGTGAAATATAGGGAACTGAAGTTTATTTTTTTGTTATGATGTTTAGTTCTTTAATAAATAATGAAAATAATATAAAGTAAGATGTAGTTTCCCGTAGGTAAAATAAATATTAAATTCGGTCCAGCAGTTTTTGACACTGTTATTTTCAATATTTTTTTTCCTCTTCATATTTTAGCAGGTCCAGACTCTCTCGTTTTCTATTTTCTTTTTAATCTGGCAATATTTGCAAAAGTTTATGTTAATGTTGTCATTATATTACTGACAGAAGCTTTTATAAATAGTAGAAAAAAAAGTATATTTAATCTTTATTGTATGTCTTATGTGTTTGATCAGATTATAAAAAAATTGCCTTAGGGTATGAAGACTAATATTTGTTTCTTTGTCCGTCAGGTAGATTATTGAAAAATATTAAACACGTATTTTTTTCGTCATCAATAAACTACTACATCAAATTTTGTACGTCATATTATTGTATATTTTTTGCATAGTTATAACGTAGCCAGCCTCCACTTCTCAACTTTCATGCCCACAATACTCAAGCTCAATGCAACAGAGAAACTAATTGTTTCTCTATTTCTTTATTTTTTACTTTGACGCGTCTGTGAACCGAACCCGAGTTCTCAGAGATGGCGACACCTTGAAACCAGCGTGTGAGTCATTCAATATGGAGGTCACCAACTCAGTAACATTTGATATCAAGGACACAGCACACAGAGAGATCCATTTTTCTGCAAGATGAAAGTAGACAACCTTCACTAAAGAAATTATGCTCTTTTGGTACATTTGCTTCATAACAAGTTTACAGGGGAATATAAATTGCATGGAGAATTTTAAAATAAATCAGTTAAAGTAATCAGTCGCAACAAATGAACATTGAATATACATACTTTTTTACTCGATTGTTACTATGAATATGTTATCTATCTATCTATATATAAATAAAAATTAATTTCTGTTCGTTAGTCTCGCTAAAACTCGAGAACGACTGAACCGATTTGACAAATTTTAGTCTTGAAATATTCGTGGAAGTCCTGGGAAGGTTTAAACGATGAGAAATTATAACAAATTTGCTAGTATAATACTAAAAACGACAATTTGACTTACAAACTGTTCTTAGCTGTCAACCGTTCATTTGACGATCAATATTTATGGTCGTGTAGTGGTTAGTTTACGCAATATTTTTCAATCTATGGTTCGTCTTGACAGCACGTAAAAAAAAAGAGATGCTGTCGCCATTATAGTTATTAGTGCACGAAAACATTATTAATTTAAACCCTATTTATAATTATAACCCTATTATAATATTTAAAAAAATAGAAATTCCATTAAATTGATTTTAAGACTCCGTTCTGGACACTACCCATCGGCAAAGTTTAAATACCTAATGAAAATAACTGACTCAGATAAATGTCACGCCTGCAATAAAATTGAAGATGTACAACATTTGCTGATGGAGTGTATTAGAAACAAAAATGAGAGGGAGTCATTTATGAAAGAATTTAAATTAAATGTTTTAGATATAGGATTAATTCAAAATATTTTATCAGAACATAAGTCTATCATTGTACAAAAACTATGTAAATTACTCGTAAATTTAAGATAAACTGTAGTAAATGCTGTAAAAAATTACCTAGTGAAATATTGTTATCAAATGAATCTAGATTTAAGTATGGTATGATGGGGTTGGCATGTTCTAAAGAATAAAAACCCCTTAAAAATTAAAAGAATTAAAAAGAAACCCTATTATATGTTTTTTATTAAGAGGTAAGTAATACGAAGTTCACCGGGTCAGCTAGTTCATAGAAATAAATGTAACATTGATTAAATAATAAAACAAACGACTTCTATGTGCTCATATCACTACATAATATACACGCAGTGTTTTATGAATTAGATAATAGAGATGATGCTTTGGTAAAAAATATCTAATTAATATTCTTTAATAATCTAACTGATGGCAGGGCAAAAAAAAATTAAGCATTATCCCCATTGAATAAAAAAGGGTAGCGTTACAGACCTAATTGTTTTTTTGCAAGTCAGTTTTGCATTATCTTCGTGAATATTAGATTTTTTTTAATTGAAAATGTAAAATATTCTAAAAGCGATAAATCAAGAGATTTCCGAAAAATTTCCCGAGATTTGGATGAGTAATAATTTATAATTACCCCGATTAATAAATAATCGTATGTGGTGGCATGTCAGAATTGAGAAATATAGTTTTTCGTCAGATTTAAAACTAATCGAAAATATGATAACAATTACTTATAACGTAATAACTGACCAGTTATGTGTCTATTGTACTGAAATCATAAGGTGCTAATCCTCGCTCAAACTAAAAAGAAGTTTTGTTGAATTTGGTAACCGCATTGAAAGCAGAATTTTACTTGATACTAAAAATATTGTTTTGAAATAATTAAAAAAAAAAAACTCATTTAATTGTTCAAGTTTTTATTTGACTTAAATACTAAACTTACTTATTTTTTTATATTATATTATCAGTGTATAAATATACAGTTATGTATGTACTTGAAAATGTTTTTAAAAGACCATCCATACATTTTTAATTCATTCAAAAAAGCTTATTAAAATAAGTTATTTACAGTATTTCACGTTATTTAAGCACAAAAAATAAATTAATGTTCAACTGCTTTAGTAGACCCAATTTAATTAAAATGTTCCAAATAATAACTTCTATATAAAAACTCATTTACTTAACAAAAACAATTATCAACTATGTTATTATTAAATATCTTTATTGACATCACAAATGAGTTTCTCTTAAAACAGTCGTTTCTAATAAATGGCAAAAGTAATTCTTTTTAAAATCTATCTTTAAAATCATACTGTTCTAAGTCAAACTAACAAACACACCAGTTTTAAAAACATAGTAGCGTCATCTATCGACAACAGTTAATTGTAGCATTTATTATTTCGCCAGATTAACAATATCTCATTGAATTATGTTAATGAAAATATGGCAAAATTAAAAACGAAAGCTACTTTGTGTGATAAAAACCGTAAAAAAATGAAGACTACAAATATGGTAAAATCAATATCTCCTAAGTACAGTCGCGTCTTCGTTCCGAACACTACTCAGTAGAGTCAGCGAAATGTAACATTTTCGTGTACTTAACCAATATAACGTCATCATCATCAGCCTCTTTACGTCCCCACTGCAGGGACTCAGGCCTTTCTTATGCATGGTTAAGGAGGATGGGCCACAACCCTCCATGCTAATCCAATGAGCATTGGAGGGTATTGACGACTGCAAATGCAGCCAGGATCAACGGCTTAACGTGCCTTGCGAAGCACGCAGTAGCTCGAGATAATAATTTTTTGACCACCCATCCCGTGACCGACCCTTACGAAAGTTGCTAAACATCAACGATCGCGGACGGCTATGCATTTAATATTAGCGACAATGATTGTACCGATTAAAATTATTCAAAACATTATTTAATCCTGCGTAAACAGCTTAAATCATTTAATAATGGATATGGAAAAGGATGTCATAGAATTAAACTACAGTGACAAATTGAATTTTAAACAATGGTTAATATGGTAACGATTTAATACTCTTTACGAACTTCCATTCCCATTTTCATGCTTTTATATACTTTTTGGGAAAAGATTTAAGATAGACATATGTTGCCGCGGACTTTTTTTAGAACTTTTAAAGAGGATTAATTTCGTAATACTCGTACATGATTTTTACGTAACTATCACACACTCGTGGAAAGCTTTAAAAAAGTAAAATATTCTCATGTTTCTTTTACATTTTTCATTGCTCCACTCCTGTAAGGCATAGCTCGCTATGTTATATAGCATATAGCCTTCCCCGACAGGGCCGAATTAGCCACGTAGTAAAAGTAGTAAATGCTACGGGACCCGCGTAATTGAGAGCCTAGCTATGGTTCAGAGCCAATTAATTATTTTTCAAGTCAGTGTTAAATAATGCAAGAAATAAAATAAGCCACGCTTCTGAGTCATATTTTTAAGTATGAACATAAACTGACAAATAAAACTCAAGTCACAGATGATTAGTTGTGTTGTGTTATTCGGAAAGCAAAAGATGACTTTCGATTTCGAGGGATGGGTGATTTGCTACGGGCCCTGCTTTGGCTTAATTCGGCACTGTTCCTCGATAAGTGGACTATTCAACACAAAAACAATTCGTTCCTGTAGTTTCTGAGATTTTGAAGTTTAAACAAACAAACAAAAAACAAACTCTTAAGCTTTATTATTAATATAAATATGTCTTGTAAAATGCTTAAAAATGATATTTCAACCGATGATCATAGTTAACATTATACTTAAAAACAAATAAATAAGTTTTCGAAGCAGCTTAAATATTTTTTATTATACTTCATTTTAATGAACTTCATTTAAATTGTTATCTTAAAATTTTTGTGCTTATTTTATTTTGCGATTTTGAAAAACTCATTAGGATACATTTTATAAACTAAGTTCATGATGGTTTTTTTCTAGGTAGATTTGGTTAATAAATTTTAAAAATATTAATCCTATATTTATGACTAGCTGCTTTCCTGCGACTTGGCCCACATAAATTATAACTTATGTCAACCGCATATGATGTAATTTCCCGTGGGTGCAAGAATTTTCAAAATCGATCAATTACTAACGGAGCTTATCGATGTAAATAAACAAACAAACCATTCCTTTTCATAATGGGTATTCTTAAAGAAAAGAGAATTTATATTAATAAAATAATCAAGTAAATATTAAAATATATTTATTAACAAATATTTACAAACATAACAGAAACGATATCACATTTATTAAGAGTCGGCAAAGTGTCATCTTCATCAATGATGTTTTTGTTCTGGAACGATGTGCTTAGCATGACCTTCGCGTTTCACTACGGCGTTGAATCTGTAATAAAATATTTAAAATATTGTTACAATAAATTTATAATAAATATGTAGGTACTGTTAGACTAAAAATATGGAATACCGTGGATACCACTATATATTGATTGCATTACATATATCACTATCGGTCAGTGAACTGACAATGTCACTTTGACATAGACATAAGATGAGATTCGCGCCAATATTTCACCGGTTGTGAATTATTGAGATAGTACTCTGTCCAATTCATTAGTTGAAAATATAAAATAAAATGATTAAACCAGATAATGTAATTTAATAGTTCGTTATCTCGTTTAATCATTTCTCTGGTTCAATAGTAATTTAGTAAACCAAAACTTGGTTTTAATTTACTAGTGTACATTTTAATCGTAATTAATATAAAATTCTTTTCTTATTTAGAAGAATCATTACATGATGGAAGACTGCAATCGGTGAGTAAGCGAGGCTTAAAAATTATTTCTGTAGGTAATTTTCCTTTGTACTTATTCGCATTTTATTTTTGTAAGATCTTTTCTTCGCGTAATATTTAATTTGCTTAATTTTTATTTATTTCAATTATCATCGTGCCCGATGAGTAATATAATTATTATTTCGTATCATAATCTCTGAGGGCGACAAATATTTGTCTCTGTGTCTACCTCTATTCCAACATCGACGATGGTAGTTAATTAAGATCTAAATTTGTCTTTGTTTAGCTTCGTGTGTCATACAAACCCGTTGTGTTTATCGGCTGTGTACTCGCTGTACCGTCAGCCTCATGCAGCGAGTAGAACCCTTTAACAACGTCACCGTCGCGGGTCTCGTGCTGGGTCTTGTAGTCACCAGTGTGCGGGTCCTTTATGGAGTACTCATACGCATACTTGGGATAGGCCTGCAATAATATAAAAACTAAATTTGAATTCTATATTGACAAAAGGATAACTCCAATTTAGATGTTTTGAAAAATAGACATTTGTATTCATTTGAACCAATTGAAATTATCAGTTTTATATTTTACGATATTGAAGTTTATCAATATTAAATTTCATTTAAAAATAGTAAATTAAATATACTATACAATAATTGATCAAAGATTGTATAGAGAAGATAGAAAAAATGCTTTTCATTATAAATAAAAAAGACTGATAGTAAAACTATTAATCTCTTTTTCTAATTGAAACTATCCTCCTTGTTTGTTAAAAAGTTTGTTAAAAACAAATAGACACCAAAGATTGTCTGAAAGCGCTAATTCTTATACACCAGGTAACAAATTACAGTCTGCTGTCTGTTGTAAACGGTTGATTGACCAGTAAGATATAGTTTTATAAATTTAAATGTATTTTGGTTCCTCTTTTAAAAAATGAACTTTCATAACTTTATATACATATAACTAAGATCTAGATTAAAGCGCTAAAATTATCAACACGCTAGAAACATCATACTACATAGCTTACATAGTAATCTTCGTGGTGTTCCTCATGTCCATGTTGGATGTGCTGTTGCTGCTGCTCGTGACCACTTTGGTGAAGCACAAGAGACTGGGATGAAATGCCTTGTGAGTGGTAATCACCATGTTGTGGTCGTGCAGCAGCTAACGCGATGACAGCAGTCATAAATATAACCTGTCAATTAATAAATTATAGGTATATATAAAATTTATGATTGTTAGAATCATGGAAGTAAGTGTACGTAGCGGGTAAATATATGCATAGCTATCATTTTCGAAAGTTGAAGAAATAATTTTTGAAAATGCTAGCCACGCATTGAAAATTCTCACGGAAAATTGAAAATTTATAGTAAAACTGATACTACTTTTTTACACAAACTCACCAACAAATTCTAAATAAAAGTACCTATATTTTACAAACAAGAAAAAATATACATTGCACACAGATAACTTTTAAAACATATACTTTTAAGAAAAACAAACATTATTATTCAATAACATTAATTAAACGTTAATAGTTACAAAGGGGTTCGAAGTATTAAGTACCTTTGAGATCATTTTGTTTTTTTAATATATGTATATATTTACTCAGAGTGTTTAAATACTAATTTACTGGTGCACTCTTGGAAGTTGTTTGATAAAATTAACACTTTAAAATCAGCTTTTATACTTTCAGTAGATACATTTATGCAATGCGGTAACTTGATTCGCTTAAGTCGGTTTTAAGTTTAAGTACTTCATAACATAAATAATACGTATTTACTTCTTTTTTATTTAAAAGTAATATTGTTAGATCGATGTTCATTACTGTTAGTTGTTTCGTTAGAAAAATAAATAAATTTTCTAAATTGAATATAAGTAACGTAACATACTTTTACAGTTTTTGGAAATTAATACAATAAATTATTTCAGTAAAGTTTCTATGATAACATAATTTCATTTATTTTATATTTCTTCAATCAGAAAAGTTATATGTATGTTGTCTTTCACAGCGACTTTCTCTGGAATTCCTAGTCCAATTTCATTGAAATTTAGTACACATATATTCAATGATAGCTGTAGAACGTATAAAATAACGAATTTGAAACATGGCTACTTTGGCTGAAATGAAAAATATGAAAATGCAAGCTATCAAAAATATTTGAATGTTTTTTTATAAATTATTTTGAAGTAATAAAGGAGAATTTACTAAAACGTACTACCTATTCCAATTCTAATATCCTAATGCACAGGGTTTGAAATTAAAAAGAAGAGCATAAATGTATATTGAAAGAAGAAAGACATAGAAATATATTACAAGATTTTCCCTTTAAAAAAATATCTTTGTTCGAATCCTCTTCACACGAATCTAACTTGCGTTTAGCCGTTTTTGACTATTGTTCATTAATTACATAATTCGTTAATATTACCAATAATTAATTAATTAAACGTTATTTTTATGGTCAAAAACTGAAGAGGTTTTTGACGCAATCTAGTCAGAAAAGGATATTTTTGCATTGTAAGTAGAAAAAAAGGGAGGATAGTTTATTAAATGCAACGCCTGATTGAAAAGTTGTTTTCATTTCATTAGAAATACATTGTTGTCTCAGTTACTGTATAATGCGGGTGCTTTAGCTACTCATCTTGGAATGTGAGCAATAACTAAACACAAAACCGATAAATGTCTTTAAAGAAAAAAGCTTAAAATATCCACTTTGTCCCTGGTATTCTAAGACTAAACCCAAATACATGACCTTTTGTAATCCAGGCGACTACTCTAACCACTGAGCTATCCAAAACTTAAAAGGTCCGACGAATTTTGCACTTGTCAGTTTTTCACGTAACTTCAACGTTCTTGTTACGTGATTTCATTAATGTTCCGGAAATTTAACAAAACAGCCGAAAGAAATATTTTTACAAATATTTAAACTGGGTAGCTCAGTGGTTAGAGCAGTCACCTGGATTGCGAAAGATATTGGGTTCAATCATCTCAGAGTGCCGGGTACAAAGTGGATTTTTTAAGCATTATTCATTAAGATTTTTTTTCAGTATAGCATTGTGTATGCAAAATTGATCAAATAAAGTAGTAATATAAATATAATATTAAAACTTTTACTTTTAATTTGAAGGACGAACACAAATAATTCAATTTTCAGTGATGAAAGTAGACAACCTTCAACAGAGAAATTTTGTATATATCAGGACCGGCTCCTTTGTCGCATTTGCTTAATATCGAGTTTATAGGGCTTGAGTATAAATTGCACTGCGAATTTTAAAATGTATCAGTCAACTTAAGGTATTCAGTTATAAGTAATAAAAATATAAGCGATCAATATGTTTAAAAAAGTAAGTTTTTCTTAATAAAATAAAATAAAATGAGTTTAAATAATATATATAACTAGGTGATCAAACTGTAATCATGTTTGGTATTTCTATGAATTAAGTAACGTGTTTTTTGTCAAAACAAAAGATGTAGCTTGAATTTTCGAAATAAAAAAATAAAAAACAATGATAATACCTTTTTGCGGTTAAAACATTATTTTATATTTAATAACCTGTCATATATATTTAGAAAATACCAAACGTAATAAAAATTGTTTTGTAAAATTAAAAAAATATGTATATTTTTTTTTATAATACCTTAAATCTCTAAAGTAGTCACTAAATTTCAATATAATCTTATTTTCCTTTAGTTAATCGTCGGTACTTTATCAGTGACGATATTTAAGAAAAATTACATGGGCAAAAACTACTTCTTATTCCAGGTTATTGTTTATATCGCATTAGTATGTGCTTGCCATGCTGTAGAACATGCTTATTCATCACAAAGCATCGTACGTCACGACACACATGAGCATCACCAACCTATCAAAGTAGAAAAACATATTATTCCCGTGGTGAGCAAGATCGTGCCTGTAGCTCACTATGTTCAGGAGAGCCAAGCTCCTGAAAAACACCACCACAAGCCTGCTATCTCCACCTTACATATCGAGAGACACGACGTGCCCGCTCACCCTCCCGCTGATTGGCATAAATACGACGTGAGTATTTATTATTAACAAAGGACAAAGATATGAGCTTACATTTTTTTTGCAAGAAAATAGTAAAGTTAATGATAAATCAAATATATTCAATTATTTTCATTTCTTTTTATCAATAGATATGTAGGTCATTTTGAAGCCCGAGATCCGATATTGAGTAAATTTAAAATAATGTAAGAGTTTTATAATAATTTAATGTCAGTCTAGATATTTGTTAAATTTGTTAAAGTATCTTTTATCTAGGATTTTATTAATTAATAAACTCAAATTGAAACAGTTTAACCAAATTAGTTTTAAAAAGAAAGATAGCAATTTAAAGTAAAATATTGTTTATTCTTATAAATATATATCGTATTTATAATCGTTATAGAAAACAGAGCCTAAGGAAATGATTGAAATATTCTCAATAATAATTCTTTTATTTGATGCTATGTAAGAGATACTTATCTTTATGTAGGGCCCCGCCAAGTACGAGTTCGAGTACAAGGTGCACGACCCCCACACCGGCGACTACAAGCAGCAGCACGAGGCCCGCGATGGACACGTGGTGAAGGGAGAGTACAGCCTGCACGAGCACGACGGCTCCGTGCGCACCGTTAAGTATTACGCTGACAAGAAAACCGGGTTAGTACCTAAAGATTTGATTGTTCTGTATAAAAGAAATGTTAATTGTCATCTAAATTTATGAAAAAAAGAAATCTGTTGTTTCAAATCGAAAACTAAACAACGATTTTGGATCTTCCACGCAGTTTTCTATATTTTGTTACCGTTTAAAATTTCCCTGAAGTACGATAAATATTTCAAAACCAAAATCAGCTCAATTGGCTCAGTCGTTCTCGAGTTTTAGTGTGACAAACGAATATCGATTGATTTTTATATAATAGTAGCTTTCGCCAGCGGCTTCACCCGCGTGGACCCTAGGGAAATGTTAGGTGGGATAAAAATCCTATTATCTAAGTCAGCTATCTGTATACCAAATTTCATCAAAATCCGTTCAGTAGTTTCGGCGTGATTGACCGACAAACATCCAAACAAAGAAACTTTCACATTTATAATATTAATAGGTTACAGGCAGATATAATATAAGTGATTTTATAAAGGTTTCAAAAAACGTGACTGGATTTACTTTTATTGATTCACATATATTATACTCATGAAGTAAAAAGAAACAAAATATAAGAAACATCGTTCTAATTTAATTTATTATTTTACAGATTCAACGCTGAAGTGAAGCATACAACAAAACATATAGAAGAAAATAAACATCATTGAAAATTTGAACTTTGATTATTTTATGTTTTCGTTGATTGTCTCGTGTGCTTGTGTTATTATTTATTAAATTAAGTGTCATTAATTGAATATAATTTTATTGAAACCTTTTAATCAAATAAAACGACTTATCATTATTTTCATCATTAAAAATGTATTACCTATTTAAATACAGGAAAAATGTATCACCGATATAAATTGATAATAATAATATTTAAAATTAGTAAAATATTGTTAAATATATATGTGAAGGACAGACATTACATTTGTCATCATCAACCCTATTGATTAAAAAACTGAACTTTTGCATACAATTTTTAATAAACTTTTAGCAATATGGCGCTGTAGTTATTTTTAAGTGCACTCCATAATATAGAAATCAAATGAAAGAGTTCACTGATAATATTACGATTTTCTATAAAAGCTTGTAGCATTATTGTGCTAACAAGTAAAATAATGGCAAAAATTTATCAACTCGATAAAGTGGTTTCAGCTGCAATTCAACGTAAATATCTTAATGATTCCTACTAGATATTTTTTGACAAAGGTCATAGATAGAACGACCAACGCCATGATTGTTCTATAATTTAAAAAAAATATTAAGTTTCCGTACCGGAAACGAGCGAAAAATCACGCTTGTTGTGTGGTCTACCTTAAATATTTGTTTTATTTTAATTTAGTTCTATATTTTTTATGTTACTGTTCAAATATTTACATAAAATGAATTTGCATATAAATATTTCAAGCGTCTACCTATTGTCATTATCAATATAGTTGAAAAACAACCAATAAAACCACGTATTTACGAGTAGTATGAGAGCTACATTAAATATTTATTTTATTCTGGTTTTTACCATTATTTGTTGAAGTGGTATCAGAAATATATCATATGTGAAAATTTTAACTATCTAACTTTCACGATTCATGAGATTCACTGATGACAGAAAGACAGCGACGTCTTAGTAATAGTGTTCTCGTTTTACCCTAAAAATTAAATAATTGTTGTGTTAACAAACACTATTGTGCCTTTCCATCTTATTTTAATTAAATTCATATCTCTATCAAAAAGTGGTGAATTAGTTAAGTATACTGAGTATACTGTCAACGATTGTATGTACATATACAATTTTATATGAAATAGCTAATGATTTTTTAGTGAATTCACTACTGCTCCCATAGTAAAAGTTGTTCAGTATGCTTAACTAATCCACCCCACGAAGTCCTAGAATATAATAATATTACACCTTGTATAGTAATAAGACCGCCGAT